GGGAGGTTGAAGTGAGCCGAGATGGCACCATTGCACTCCACTTGGATGACAGAATGATACTCCATCTTAAAAAAAAAAAAAAGAAAAAGAAAAAAGGCCACTTGGTAGCTCTGGTGAAAAAAGAAGAAAAGGCCACAACTTGCCAGTGCCATCTCAGAGCCCCAGGATAGGCATCTGCACAAAGCAGACCAATGCCACACCTGCTAGGGGCAAAGCAAGGAGTCTCAGGACCCCAGAGCAAAGAGCCCTAGAAAGGACTTGAGCGGGCCGGGTGCCTGTAATCCCAACACTTTGGGAAGACGAGGCAGGTGGATCACTAGGTCAGGACTTTGAGACCAGCCTGGCCAACACAGTGAAGCCCCGTCTCCACTAAAAATACAAAAATTAGTTGGGTGTGGTGGCAGGCGCCTGTAATCCCAGCTACTTGGGAGGCTGGGGCAGGAGAACCGCTTGAACCCGGGAGGCAGAGGTTTACAATAAGCCACTGCACTCCAGCCTGGGTGACAGAGCTAGACTCCATCTGAAAAAAAAATGACTTGAGCTTCATCTTCTAAGGTAAGGAAACCGAGACCTAGTGAAAGGAACAGTTATTGCCCACAAGCAAGCAAACGCAATGAGAAAAGCCGTCTGCAGAAAACGAAATGGTGTGAGAACAACAGGGACTGGAGAGGGAAAGGGTCACAGGAGACTTCACACTGACAGGAGCCTGATTCCACCAGGACAGGAAAAAAAGGGCAGTCTGGGCAAGGTCTCAGTAAGTTTTATGTTCTTGAGACTCAGGAAGCTTTAAGAGAAATGAGAACATGTTTTTTTTTTGAGATGGAGTGTCACTCTGTTGCCTAGGCTAGAGTGCAGTCTGTTGGCTCACTGCAACCTCCATCTCTCAGGTTCAAGCAATTCTCCAGACTCAGCCTGCTGAGCAGCTGGGATTATAGGCATGTGCCACCACGGCTGGCTAATTTTTGTATTTTTTTTTTGTTTTTTTGAGACGGAGTTTCACCCTTGTTACCCAGGCTGGAGTGTAATGGCATGATCTCGGCTCACCGCAACCTCCGCCTCCTGGGTTCAAGCAATTCTCCTGCTTCAGCCTCCTGAGTAGCTGGGACTACAGGCGCACACGACCATGCTCAGCTAATTTTTGTATTTTTAGTAGAGACGGGGTTTTACCTTGTTGACCAGACTGGTCTCGATCTCTTGACCTCGTGATCCACCTGCCTCAGACTCCCAAAGTGCTAGGATTATAGGCGTGAGCCACCGAGCCTGGCCTTATTATTTTTTTTTAAAGAGGGGTTTCACCCTGATGGCCTGGCTGGTCTTGAACTCCTGACCTCAGGTGATCCACCCACCTTGGCCTCCCAAAGTGCTAGGATTATAGGCATGAGCCACCGCGCCCGGCCTAATTTTTGTATTTTTAGTAGAGATGGGTTTTACCGGCCGGGCACAGTGGCTCAAGCTTGTAATCCCAGCACTTTGGGAAGCCGAGGCAGGTGGATCACGAGGTCAAGAGATCGAGACCATCCTGGTCAACATGGTGAAACCCCGTCTCTACTAAAAATACAAAAAATTAGCTGGGCATGGTGGCACATGCCTGCAATCCCAGCTACTTAGGAGGCTGAGGCAGGAGAATTGCCTGAACCCAGGAGGCGGAGGTTGTGGTGAGCCGAGATCGCGCCAATGCACTCCAGCCTGGGTAACAAGAGCGAAACTCCGTCTCAAAAAAAAAAAAAAAAAAGAGATGGGTTTTACCATGTTGGCCAGGCTGATCTCAAACTCCTCACCTCAAGAGATCTGCTCCCCTTGGCCTCCCAAAGTGCTAGGATTACAGGCCTGAGCCACCACAGCCAGCTGAAATGAGAATATTTTCTGACCAGCATCCACCCACACTTGTGAGCTAGTCTCTCCACCTTCTAGGAAATGTGTCCAGGAACTGCCACTCCTCAGGCCACCAGTACCCTGCAGCACCTGCCCGTGACCATGTATTCCCTCCTGAAAACCCATCACCATTCTTTTCCTCTCTTATTCTTCTCTTCTCTGGCTTCTCTTCTCCCCTTACTACAAAATTTGCACTCCAGCCTGGGCAACAAACTCCATCTCAAAAAAGAAAAGAGAGAGAGAGAGAGAGAGAGAGAAAAAGAAAGGGACTTTTTTTTTTTTTTTGAGACAGAGTCTCACTCTGTTATCCAGGCTGGAGTGCAGTGGCTCCATCTTGGCTCACTGCAACCTCTGCCTCCCGGGTTCAAGGGGATTCTCATGCCTCAGCCTCCCAAGTAGCTGGGATTACAGGAACATGCCACCATGCCTGGATAATTTTACATTTTTAGTGTAGGTGGGGTTTTGCCATGTTGGCCAGGCTGTTCTCGAACTCCTAACATCAGGTGATCCACCCATGTCAGCGTCCCAAAGTGCTGGGATTACAGGTGTGAGCCACTGCACCCAACCCTTCCTTTCTTTTCTCACCACTACTACTCCATGAGGACCATGACCCTCACATCCTAACCATCACTGTAGTTTCATCTCCCCGACTCTCCCTTCTCTCGAATCACATAACCACTGGCAAACTGCACCAACTCATCATAGGTTGGTTATCTTTCTGTATGACTGCTTGAAGTTGACCTGAAGTTCTTTAGGGACTGAGCGTTGACTTTGGCCTTGGAGAGACTTGGGTGAGAATCTTGGCTGACACTCATTGACTTTGCATCTTGAGCAAGACACTTTCTGAGACCCTCAGTTTCCTCATCTGCAAAATGGGATGGCAACATAGAATCCTCAGGAAGAGGATTAAGTCCATGTGTGTAAGGTGCTTTCCACAGAGCTTGGCACAGAGTAAATGCTGGTAAAAGTTGGTTAGGATACATCTCTGTATCGCTATGGTGTGCGGCCAAGACTCAGACTCACTAGGCTGGTGGAGACGCCGGGGGCGGATGGTCCCAGAAGAGGCCTGGGCGGGGACCCTTGACACTTACACTGTCTGGACGTCAGTGGCGAGCCCGGCCAGACCGATGTACAGCCGGTCACCCATGGGAAAGATCTTCTGGAAGTCCGTGGTCACCATCTGGGCCTGGATCCCGAAGCGCCTGTCTGCAGCGATGGCCACACAATTCTTCCCCTTCATGGCCATAACGGCCCCTCCGTTATAGGACATAATAGACTAGGACAAACAGAACCGAGGGCTCAGTGCGGCCGGGGGTCAAACGCTGCCACAGCCCAGCCCCTGATGCGGAGGCTCCCGTACGCCTCGTTCTCCTTTCCAGAGCTTGGACCCCTGGTTTTTCAGGTGGGATGAGCACTATGTGACGGCGAGGAGCCGCACTCATCCTCTTGGTCCTCACCGGGGTCTGCTATACTCGAACTGAAACCGCTTCCTTCCATTGACCCTAGGCCCTTGTCGTCCCCAAACCTCTCCCGACTCCCTCCGCTTCTCAATCCTTCCCCGTGTCCCTTTGCTTCACTCCCCATCTCACCATGATTGTTGTATACTAAGACCCCTCGATCGCCGGAGCAATTCCAGTAAACGGGGTCTATCCTTGAGTGCACAACCGCTCTCGCTGCCGTCTCTCCATTGGCTGGTGGGCGGACTCTTCCTGGCCATCTGGGCTTTCTACTGGCCTTACTTCGCTGTCGGTCACCAGTATAGGTAGTTTGGTTGCAAAGCCAAAACGGAGGCGGGAAAAGCGGAAGTGAAAAGTCACTGTGGGTGCAGAAGAGCCTTGTGACACGGTGCATAGTGGGATCTCGGCGGACCTGGACTCCAGACCGCCGGGACTGGAGGCGGAGCCTGCACACACGTGGGCCGGTGAAACTGGCCGTAGGGGGCTTCGGCCTCAGCTGAAGGGGCATCGTGACGCTTATCAACGTGATGTTTGAGTTGGTCGTATTAGTTGTGCTAGCGTATTTATTCACTTCAGAAATCCTTACGCTTACTATGTATCAGGCACTTGGTTAGGCTCTAAATATTCACTGGCCCAGGACAGTGCCTGGTATATAGGAGGCGCCCATTAAATGGAAATTTAATGATGCAAAGTGGGAAGGGGAAGGCGTCGCGGATATTCTGCGGCTGCAGGGGTTCAGCTGTAAAGGAGAGTTTGGAAGCCAAAGGCTGTTCTGATTTGGGGGACCTCCTGCGGTCTGACTTCACGTAACCTCAATCTCAGGTGAATTTTCAAGAAGAGTGATCAAGAGTCCCAGAACCCTAAAAAGGGACGTTCTGGACCTTTCCACGTTTGAGGTAGAACCTGAGGATAGCCAGAGTCGACCTCTCGCAAAGCCAGTGGAGGAAGAGCGTGCACGTCCCGCGTCCTCTCTTCCCAAGCCCCGTCGCCCTCCTCTCCCATCAGGATCCTTACTTTTCTCCCCTGGGTTCCACTTCTTTCGCCTGATGGCGGAATCTCTTACGGCGTCTGCGCCGTCCAGGCTCGCTCCCATTGACTCGGCTCTCCACTACACTAGCAGTCGTCGCGGTCTCTGTGGCGCAATCGGTTAGCGCGTTCGGCTGTTAACCGAAAGGTTGGTGGTTCGAGCCCACCCAGGGACGCTGTGACTTTTTTTGTCTTTATTTTTTTCCCGCGGAAGACAAAAACGTGTAAGTCTGTTACTCAAAATCCAAATTTTGCATTTAAAATGGTAGCGACAATACTTTTTCTAAGAGAATCACTCTTCTTGAAAATTCACTGCTGCTCAGTCAATAATGGGATAATTTATCCAGCACTTCCCTCCACATCCCCGACTGCGCCTACAGAGGTTTTTGTCTCACTGTGCATGCAACACGTTTCAGGAAGCATTTTTCGTAGGATTAAGAATTAATTTACAGTGGAGGTTGGACAGTTTTCTATTGTGTGGCTCAATCGATGTTACAGTCTCTAAACACTACATTTGGAAGAGAAAGAGAGAGAGAGAAACAGGTATTAAGAGAAAGGTGAGAAAGGGAGAACACAGTTGTGATAAGGAAGGGACAAGACAAGAGAACTAAGCAGGGTGAATGGGGAAGACCTCAAGACAATGAGGAGAGGGGAAAGAGACGCATTTAATATGAGAAGCATTAGAATTAAAGCAACACAATTTTTTCCCTTGGAAATACAGAGAGATGGGGAGGAGAATGGAGAAATAGAAGCAGAAACAGACCAATGACCTTGTTTGGGGGAGATAAAAGGTGTAAAGAACACAGGTAAAGACGTTCCTGAAAGCACGAGAGGAGCTGCCCTCTCCCGCCTCGTCACCGTTTTTAAAGGGATCTTAACTTCGCAATAGTTCTTCGTATGTGCGGGAAGTAATTGCCTAGATTTCCCGCGTTCCTATCCTCTGCGAGCCTCTAGCCTGTGACAGACACTGACTCTTCTATGCCATTGTCAGCTAGCGGACCGGGTGAGATGCAAACACAAAATCAAGGGGCGCCTAATGTCTGCCGAGGCGCATTCCTGGGCGCAGTGGGAGCCTCGACCTTTGTGGATGAGAATGTGCAAAGCACTCTTTTTTTTTTTCCCCCTGAGACGAAGTTTCGCTCTTGTTACCCAGGCAGGAGTGCAATGGCGCGATCTCGGCTCACCGCAACCTCCACCTCCTGGGTTCAGGCAATTCTCCTGCCTCAGCCTCCTTGTGCAAAGCACTCTTAAGCAGTTTTCGTAGACACTTGGTCTCTGCAGATTCGGCTCAAAGGAGGCCTCTTCTGGAACCCTCCCAAGTACTTACCTACCCTTAGCGGGAGCTCACAAAAGAAGTGGTGGTCGCTAAAGGGACAAGCTGTGTGTCCCTCAGGATTTGCACCCACTGGTCTGTGAGCGCTCGGCGCAAAAGCCGGGTTCCTGTGCCTTGAATGCCCAGTGCCTAGCGCAGTATTTGACATTGACACGTGACAGTTGCTTCTATGTCGGCCAGTATGGAACAAAGACTAGGAAACTCTTCCGATGTGGGAAGAGTTGGGTCAGAAGGTTCTCCTGAGAAACCAGAAAGGCCTGGTCATGCAGGACGCAAAAGATGAAACTGGAGATTTAGTGGGTAATGGGGTCTTAGCATACTCCTTTCTAGCGGTTTGCTCCTGCCGGGCGCTTAACAACTGAGGAATAAGTGGATGGACTCCGGCGGCCCCTCGGGCAGCCACCAGGCCGCAGAGGAACCTCAACCCCCTTCCCGCTGGCTGATCCTGCCCCGAGGGGCAGCCCGTAGGTGCCCGTGTGGTTGGTGGGTGGGATTCAGGTCTCTGCAAAGCCCCTACGGGTTTCTCTTGCTCAGGGTCTTGCAGCCAAAGAGGGGCAGCTCTGCTGCGCTCCCCTCCCGGCAGAGCGTAGTGAATGTGCGTCTTGCCTGGCAGAGTCCAGGATGCCGGCGACACATTTGCCCTGGGAACAGTGGGCGTGTCCCCTTTCCTCCGGGGCCGGTGAACTCGCCTTTCCGGGTGCAGACTCGGGAGCAGATGACCGGATCTTCCCTTGGCCCTTCTCCCGCCGGTTCTCCAACCACTCCCTCTAGAAGGAAATCTCTCCGCCCTTCCTCTTCCTCCCCGCCCCCATCCCGCCGGTGTGGCTGCAGGCTCAAGCTAGGGTCACTCGGCGGCTAACGTGCGCAGGTCTCCTGATCGCCGGCCAGAGGGCAAAAACATTCACCTGGGGCCCCCAGCTCCGGGGCTGCCTTGGCTGCGAGCAACGAGAGAAGAGGAGACAGGCGCTCCCAAACCGGGCGAAGATTCCTTTCCTAATTTCTAACTCGAGCCTCCCACCGTCAGTGCGCTTCATGGCGCTGCTGGCCCGATGGATAATTGAGCTTTCTGGAGGGACAGACGCGGCCGCCATCCCTAATAAATCGTGAATAACGAATGAGCGATTCGACCGTCCTCATGAGGCCCACGGGCGTCCAGTAATGCGGTATCGATTCGCTTCCCCGGCACCGGCCTCACCGCTCCTCCCGGCATTTCCAAGCCTCCCTCTTCGTTCTCTCTCCCCGGTTGGAGCCACTGGGGACCCGAGCCCGAGTGCCGGGTGGAGCGGGGGCGCCGGTGGGAGTCAGCGGGCCCCGCCGTCTTGGCGCTCGCCCGACTCTCCCGCCCGCGCGCCGAGGGAGGCGCACAGGCAGCGCGCAGCGCAGGGTGCGAGCGAAAAATGCGAAATCCGCGCCAGGCCGGAGAAAAGGAGCGGGCCCACCTTCCAGCCTGGCGCCTTGTTTCCTAGACCAGTGTGGCCTCTCGCCGTTGGCCGGGTTATTGTGTCCCAGGCCCGGAGCCTGAATTCCCGTCCTCAGTGAGCCTCCTTTCTTCTCTGCCCGAGCACGCCTAGGCGCAGCCGCCTGCACAGCTCCCCGCGGCGAGGCACCCCCCCACACCCCGGCCTCACCCCGCACCTCCACTCCCCTCTCGCGATTTCTCCCTGTCAGGGGCCCAGGCTGGATCCCTGTGCGCCGCTTTTCACGGTCAGCGCCCCTGCGGCCAAGGGGAGCGGGGAGGACACGCTCGCCCTCCCAGATGCAGTTATTAATTTTAAGGGAGTGTCACTTGGAGTGAATGAAAATCGCCCGGACGCGTGGCTGAAGGCGTTTCGTCCCCCGCGGGAGCCCCGCGCCCTTTGGTCTAGGCCGGGCGTGGAGGCCCGCGGGCCACCTTTCACCCCAGTCCTCATTTCACCATTTTCCAGGATCCCGGGCTAGGGGTGGGCATCACAGGGTCAGTGAGGGGAACGCATATTTTGAGGGGAGGGGCTAAGTGCGGAAGGTAACAGAAGAGAACCCATCCTCTGGGGTCGGGGCGGCCGCGTGGGAAGGGAGAGGTCTCGTCCATGCTGGGGACCCGGCACCCGGTGGCGGGGAGCGGCAGTGCCAGCCTCCCCCTCCTCTTCCCCTCTCAGCCAGCATCCTGAAGGAATGAAGTCACGTGGGTGAGTAGTGGGCGGGACCTAGTCTTGTCTGGAGGAAAAAAGCCATTTTGTCTCCCCCCCCAACTCCGGTCCCTCCCCTCCCCCCACGGACCCTCCCCTCCCCTCTCTCCCTCCCACCCCAAGCCGCTTTCACTAACTCCTTTCTTACCGTAGGTTTCTCCCCTCCCGCCGCCGGGGCGAGCGACACGGCTGCGGCCCCCCTCCCCTCCCTTCCCTCCCTCCCTCCCATCCCCCCCTCCCCGAGACCCACCGGACCCCGAACACAGGTAAGCGGAGCGACTCCCCCTTCCTTTTCCTCTCCTGCCCGGTAACCCTCTGGGGATTGGGATGGGGGCCGGCCCTTCTCTGCAAGCCCCGGTGAGAGGGGGAGGCTCTGAGCCGATCCTGCCCTCTCACCCCCCGCGTCCCGCCAGCCCCCAGTCCAGCTCGCCCCGTACGCCTTTCTTTCTCCCTTTTTTCTGTCCCTTTTTCCCTTTCCTCTTCCAAGATGGCCGAAACGGGTTCCCCCTCTTAACGATTTGGCGTCTCCCTCGACCACCACCTCTTTGTGCAGCAGCCCCTGGGCAGACCCTGTTCCAAGGTAGCGAGGGGGAAGGTCCCGAGCAGCCGGGAGGGTTTGCGGGGTGCACGCTGGGTTGGGTCGCCGCTCCCCACGAGCCAAAGCCATCCCGGCTATGCCCGATCTGCCCCCTTTCCGTCTGGCCAGGGGTCGCTCCCCCGTGGGTACTGGGGCGTTGCGGACGCGCGGGGACTTGGGGCCAGCAGAAGGGGTTGTGCTTTGAGGCGGCCGCGAGGCCGGGGGAGGGCGCCCTTCGCCGCCGGGGTCCCGGTCCTCTCCAGCACCTCCCCCAGCCGGTCCCCGCTCCCCGTCCCGGCGCCGGCGCCCCGCCCCCTCCCTGAACCACCTCAGCAGAGCCTCCCTCCGGAACACCCCTCCTGGGGCCCCGCCGAAAGTTTGGCTCTAGGGAAGGTGGAAGCGGCCACCCGGTAACTGGGGTCCCTGATCCTTGGACCTGGGCTCCCGGGGAAGCTCGGGCTGAGGGGGTAGAATGGGGATGGAGGGAAATCTATCGCAGTATTTCCCATGGCCAGCGGATGCAAGGGGATCTGATGAAGTGGCCCCCTTTCCCCTTGGGTGCCCGGCCACCCCACCCTCCGCACACCCTCCTGCTGCTAGCTCTGAGGGCATGGGACCCCCGGGCAAGCAGACACCCCCTGCCTGTCCTGTTTCCACGGTGGTCCCGGCCATGCCCCTCGCCCTCCCCCACTGCCCCTGTCTGCCCGTAATCGCTCCTGTTGGCTTGAGGTGGGAGGAGGCGGCCTAGAGGCCGGTGAATTTACCAATGAATATTGTGGAAATGTTACCCAGCGCTTCCCCGAGGTCTTTGTCCCTCAGTGTCCCCCATGCTGCCTCAGTCTCCCCAGAGTGTGGTCTCCTGGTTGTCCCCTCCCCACTCTCTTCTGATGCCTCCTCCTCTGGGACCCCTGGCAGTTTCTGTTCCTGAAACCACCCTCACCACTCTGGTCTGAGGTATTATTACTTGGAGCATAAAGCCAGCTCTGTTGCAGCTTTTTGGTGGGAAGGTTTCCCCAGGGGCTCCCCTGGTTGGGGGGTGGGGGATTGAGGCTTTAGAACTGGCTTTGGAATGAAGCAGGAAACCGACCCCAGGATCCAGACCTTGTGTAGCTGGGTAGGGTTCAAGTTGAAGTCTTGGGGGTTGGGCAGGAAGGGGTACTCTCTGCTGTCCCTGGCCTTGCCTGGGAGATGTTGGTTGATGGAGCTGTTGCCATGGGAATGGAGAGCCTGGATTGGAAGAGGGTACAGCTTTGTGCGGGTCAGATGCCCACCGCAGCTCTCAGCCTCTGGTCCCTAGAGCAGACTTGGAAGCTGAACTGCCTTTGTTGCTGGAAGACTTATGTTTCATTTACCCTGGGTGGACCAGGGGCGTACAAAAGGTTAGTGTGTGTTTGCAGATCTGGTTCCAGGCAGGGATGTCAGGCCGTGTGCAGAGTGGATAGGGGCAGCTTCTGCATCTGGTAAGGTGGGCCTGGCTCTGGTCTGGCTGTGATTGTGTGTGTAGTGTCCTGTTGTGTCTATCTGGCCTTGTGTGGTGAGTGAGAGGTGGAGGGGGGTGTGTCTGGCTGTATGTGTGTGTATCTGGCAATTGTAAATTTTGGGGTTTGCCTTTGTTTGATCTTAGGGAGCTGAAAGGTGGGAGAGGGAGGGAGGGCTGAGTAAGCCCAGCTTCAGGAGGCTGAAGGCCCTTTTCAATGCATGGTGGGGACAGGGGAGTAGATCTTTGTGCCATTGTCCAGGATCGAGGAAAGTTGGGAGGTTCACAGTGTGCCTGGGCAGACCCTCATGGCCCCAAACACAAATACAAGAGGATTGCACAGTTGGACCCACGAAGCTGGGAGAGGAACAGAATTGGAGAACCCAGGGTCTGAGTCTTGATGCCGTGCTTCCCGGCATCCTGTTTCCCCGTGTGTACCATGGAAAGGGGAAAAGCGATTAACACTGCCTCCTCTTCCTTCGTCAAGGCAGGAGGCCATCCTGATGGTCATGTTTGGCTGGACTGACTCCCTCCCAGACGGTGGCCCACTGAGTGGTTTTCCCGCCACTCCAGGGAGCTACCCTCCCACCTGCTGGGATGGAGCCAGGCATTATTGCTTTACATGTGAGGAGCCTGGCTGGGTGCCAGGGTGTTAAAAGCACTGAGGTGGGAGTCAGGCAATTTCTTGTCACAGGACTGCCACAGCTTTGCTGTGTGAGCTTAAGACAAATCACTTCTCTCTGAGTGTGCTCATCTTTTTTTTTTTTTTGAGATGGAGTCTGGCTCTGTTGCCCAGGCTAGAGTGCAATGGTGCGATCTCAGCTCACTGCAACCTCCGCCTCCCTGGTTCAAGCGATGCTCCTGCCTCAGCCTCCCAATAGCTGGGACTACAGGCATGTGCCACCCTGCCCAGCTAGTTTTTTGTATATTTAGTAGAGATGGGGTTTCACCATGTTGGCCAGGATGGTCTCGATCTCCTGACCTCGTGATCCCCCTGCCTCTGCCTCCCAAAGTGCTGGGATTACAGGTGTGAGCCACTGCATTGGGTGACAAAGTGCTTTCTAAGATCTCTTTCACCTCTGCAGTTCTAGACATCTGGATGTGACCCTGAGTGACTTTCCCCAAGACATGGAGACTTTCTAGTGAGGGAGTGGGGCTGATTTCATTTGGAGGCAGGCAGAGCAGAGAGGGCTGCGGCATCAGAGGACACAGGGGTCTTGGGGCTGGAAGACCCACTGTTTCCACAGGGGACCATGAAGAAGTGAGAGACGCCTAAATTGCAGGGTGGCTTCCAGAAAGACACTGGTTAAAATAGAGAGATGGGGCCCAGCACAGTGGCTTACTCTACCTGCAATCCCAGCACTTTGGGAGGCTGAGGTGAGTGTATCACTTGAGGCCAGGAGTTCGAAACCAGCCTAGCCAACATGGTGAAACCGTGTCTCTACTAAAAAATATGAACGTTACCTGGGTGTGGTGGCATATGCCTGTAGTCCCAGCTATTCAGGAGGTTGAGGCAGGAGAATGGCTTGAATCCAGGAGGCGGAGGTTGCAGTGAGCAGAGATCACGCCACTTCACTCCAGCCTATGAGACAGAGTGAGACTCCAAAATAGATATATGGGGGTTGATTTCTTCGCGGGGGTCTTTAAGGATTGGGAAAGACAAGTGCTAGGCTTGAATGGCAAGGAGGGTTTGGGGTTGGATGCTGAGTGCTGAGCAGGTTCCCTTCCTGCCACAGTAGCTAGAGCCAGACCCGGGGCTCCAGGGCCCAGAACGTGGACCGCCCTTGCAAAGACAATGGCTGGGAGAATGGTGTTAGAGGTGGAGACAGTGCTCGAGTCACTGGGGGCACAGTTGGGACTGAAGTTTTAAAGTCCCCGAGCTCTACAGAGACCATTTCCAATGGCGCTGGGCCTCTCCCTTCTGTTTCTTGGAATCTGTGTCTCTCACTGTTTCTCCCTCGAGTTCTTCCCATCTCAGCCTCTTCAAAGTCATGACAACTGGATTGTCAGCCACCATCACCCCTTTTCCCTTGCCTTCCCAAAGCACACCAGCCAGTGCAGCGGGGAGGAACTGGATGTCAGGAATGCAGGGCCTGGCGCCTCCTGGGATGGGGAGCCTGGGAGAGGGTGCTCTAGTGAGACAGAGCTCCTGTTTACATTACTCTTGGCACCTGCTGGCGGGGCCCTGCAGGTAACCATGGCAATCAGGTGAGGAGCCAATCAGTGCTTCTCCCCACCCTCAGCCCCAGAGGTAACAGTCAGAACCCGTGGGGATGGGGTGGCAGGGAGCAGGGAGTGAGACAGGAGGCTTATTTTTTTTTTTTTTCCAAGACAAAGTCTTGCTCTGTCGCCCAGGCTGGAGTGCAGTGGGGTGATCTCAGCTCACTGCAACCTCTGCCTCCAAGGTTCAAGAGATTCTCCTGCCTCAGCCTCCTGAGTAGTTGGGATTACAGGTGCCCACCACCATGCATGGCTAATATTTTATTTTTAGTAGAGACGGGGTTTCACCATGTTGATCAGGCTAGTCTCAAACTCCTGACCTTGTAATCCACCCGCCTGGGCCTCACAAAGTGCTGATATTACAGGGGTGAGCCACCAAGCCTGGCTGGCAAGGGGAACTGGAGAAGGAACAGCGTTTCATTCAATCAGCACCACCTTGGGCCTCGTGTCTAGACAGAGGCCCAAGGGATAGGCTCGGGCTGAATTCTCAGAAATGTACAGGGAAGTGATTGGGTAAGGGGCACAGCCATTTGCAGTGTGGGGCTCCTGGCTGTGGGGTCCTTAATAGCAACTGTCGGCTGGGTGTGGTGGCTCACACCTGTAATCCCAACACTTTAGGAGGCCGAGACAGGCAGATCACTTGAGGCCAGGAATTCAAGATCAGCCTGGCTGACATGGCAAAACCCCATTTCTACTTAAAAAAAAAAAAATACAAAAATTAGCCAGGTGTGATGGCAGGTGCCTGTAATCCCAGCTACTCAGGAGGTTGAGGCACAAGAATCACTGGAACCCGGGAGGTGGAGGCTGCAGTGAGCTGAGATCACATCACTGCCCTCCAGCCTGGGCAACAGAGCAAGATTGTCTTTAAAAAAAAAAAAAAAAAAGAGCAAGTGTCTGTTTTGAAAACACAGCGGATGTGTGAATGAGGTGGCTCAGGGCAGTGTGAAGTGTGCAGAGCCTACGTGTTTATGTGTATGTGTGTGTACCGTGCATGTGTATAAGAGGGTGAGTGGGAGAGATGAGGGCATGCGATTTACCCAGCAATAGGGACCCCAGGTGTTATCAGAGCCCAGCGTGTTTGTTGGTGGCAGTGCATGCACACACACATAGATGCATCTGGACACACACGTGATGGACAGGCAGTCACAGGAAGTACTTTTGGAGGCCCAGACGGCACGTACACACGATGGATATTACACACGCTCAGAGAGACAGCTACTTGGATTATTCTCTCCTCTGGATGGTTGTAATAATATTTGGGCATCTTGCCAGAGACAGGGTTACTATGGAAACGACCAAACAGTGGAGTAGCCAGCAGCCTTCTGCGTAATTGCAAAAGGGGGACCCATGCAGGGAGGGCTGGCCGAGGCCACCGTGTGTGGGGTGGGAACCCCTTTCCCTTCTCAGATCCTGGGGGCCGCCGCCTCTCCGCCCTGTCTCTGGGCTTGCTGTGGGACTGGCTTGTTCCCCTGTCTGCCCTGCAACTTGCTGTCTCTCCCACATGTGGCCTTTGTGTCTCTGCATCTCTTTCAGTCTCTGGCTAGGTTCCCTGAGACTCTGTTGGCTGTCTGGGTCCTGGCCAGACTCATCCTGGGGTCTCTATAGAAACTGCTGATCCCGGCTGTGAATTTCTTGTCCTAGAAAACCCAGTGTGGTGGCTTTAGAAGTCTTTCTGGAAAGGACAGAAGGGTGTGAGTATGTTGTAAAGGAGCTGTTGGGGCTTGGCCACCCTCCCAAGCCCCACCCCTGGGCTTTTAGTCTGGGAAAGAGAAGGGAGGGGCTGTCCCTTCCAGGTGCAGGTTTGATTTCTTTTACCAAGAAGGAAGCACAGCGGCCAATCCAAAGCTGGACTTTGACCTCTTCAGACCCTGCCCCGCCTGGCTGGTGTCCCGGCGGGCTGGGGACAGACACTTTCTGCCCAGCTTTGGCAGGCATCTGTGAGAGCCTGTGGTTTGTCACTGGACAGCCTGTGAACAGGTGGCAGAGGCTTCACTGGGGCTGGAGACAGTGGGAGGGTAACAGGGACCACGTGGGGAGAATTCCTGCGGGTGCATGAAAGCAGCTGGGGTTTGGGGAGGGGGTCCTGGACCACGTGTGTGCTGTGGGCAGGCAGCACTCACACAGGGGCTCTCCATCAGGGGCAGTGGGAGGGACTCCTGTGACAGGGGTGTAGCCTTTTTGCCTAAACTCTTTGAGTCCAGGGCTAGGGCTGGAGCTGCACATTCCCAGCTTCGGGCATGTTCCCTGCCTGAGTCCCAGGCCTGGAAACCAAATGGTTAGTGTATGATGGATGTCCTAGGGGCAGCCTAGGTCTGGCAGACTTAGGAGGGAGGTACCCCAAGGCCTAGGCTGGATGCAGAGCCGGAAGCACAAGTGACGGCTGTGGCCTTCTAACCAAGGGTGGTAGCCTGTGTGCCCTTGGTGTTTCCAGGGAAGCCTGGAGGAGTGAATGGATGGAGCAGAAAGGAGGGTGGGATGTAGTGGAAAGAGCAGGTCTGAGGCCCTGCACGGATGGAGGGTTGAGGGAGTGAGGATCGCTTATTTATTCTCTTCTATTCCTTGAAGTTCAGGCAGTGGCTTCTTTATCTAAATTTCCTCCTAGTACCTAGTATGCTTTAAATGTGGACCGAGTCCGTGACTGTGGATTGGGATTGGGGAGTTTCGTTTTGTTTTCCTTTTTTAGACAGAGCCTTGCTCTATTGCCCAGGCTTGAGTGCGGCGGCATAATCCCAGCTCACTGCAGCTTCAGCCTCCCAGGCTCAAGGGATCACTTGAGCCAGCAGGTTTCTCCTGCCACAGCCTCCTGAAATGCCAGGATTATAGACATGATCCACTGCACCCAGCCTGGGATTGGAGAGAGGTTTTTCTGGGTTTTTTTTGGTTTTTGAGAGAGTTTTGCTGTTTCTCGTTGCCCAGGCTGGAGTGCAGTGGTGCAATCTTGGCTCACCACACCTCTGCCTCCCAGGTTCAAGCAATTCTCCTGCCTCAGCCTCCCGAGCAGCTGGGATTACAAGCATGCACCACCATGCCTGGCTGATATTTTGTGTTTTTAGTAGAGATGGGGTTTCTCCATGCTGGTCAGGCTGGTCTCAAACTCTGGACCCCAGGTGATCTCCCACCTTGGCCTCCCAAAGTGTCGAGATTACAGGCATTAGCCGCTGCACCTGGCTGATTGGAGAGTTTTTTTTTTTTTTTTTTTTTGAGACGGAGTTTTGCTGTTGTTACCCAGACTGGAGTGCAATGGCACGATCTTGGCTCACCGCAACCTCTGCCTCCTGGGTTCAAGCAATTCTCCTGTCTCAGCCTCCGGAGTAGCTGGGACTACAGGCGCGCACCATCATGCCCAGCTAATTTTTGTATTTTTAGTAGGGACGGGGTTTCACCTTGTTGATCAGGCTGGTCTCGATCTCTTGACCTCGTGATCCACCTACCTCGGCCTCCCAAAGTGCTGGGATTATAGGTGTGAGCCACCGCGCCCCGCCTGAATTTTTTTTTTTTTTTTTTTTTTTTTAGACAGAGTCCTGTTCTGTCACCAGGTGCCAGGCTGGAGTGCAGCGCACGATCTCAGCTCATTGCAACCTCTGCTTCCCAGGTTCAAGCGATTCTCCTGCCTCAGTCTGGTACTAGCTGGGACTACAGGCACGAGCCACCGTGCCCAGCTAATTTTTGTATTTTTAGTAGTGACGGGGTTTCACCATGTTGGCCAGGATGGTCTCCATCTCTTGACCTCATGATCCACCCACCTCGGCTTCCCACAGTGCTGGGATTACAGGCGTGAGCCACTGCACCCGGCCTGGAGAGTTTTAAAAATCTTCTTCTCTCCTATTTTCCTGCCTCGTTATATTCTCTGGGGAGTTGGGCAGTACGTACTGTGGCCTAACTTCAGTCTTTCCTCCTGCTCCTCAGAGAGAGCTGACCTTGTTGCTCAAGGCTGTGTGAATCTCCAGAGCCCGGAACCTAATAAACACTCATAAGGGGCCAGAAAAAACCAGCCAAATGTACGGCCCCAGCCCACCCTGAAGGCAGAGAAGGGCCTTGGGTTCAGGGAGAGATGGGCTGGAAGGTGTGGATGACGCGTGGGAGGGGCTGCCAACACTCTGAGTTTCTGATCCCACTTCCGTTTCCCAGGGCAACGCTCCCCAGTCCCCCCACCCCCAACCCCGGAATCATGCATCGGACTACACGGATCAAAATCACAGAGCTGAATCCCCACCTCATGTGTGCCCTCTGCGGGGGATACTTCATTGACGCCACCACTATTGTGGAGTGCCTGCATTCCTGTGAGTTGGCGGGAGGGGAGCTGCTCAGGGTGGGCACGGCCTGAGGAAAGAGCTTGCCCTGAAGAGCAAACGTGTCCAGGTGTCTGCCAGGAATCCTCAGGTCACAGGGGCCTACCTGGCAGGGGTGACCAGGTGCAGGGTGTCAGCTCAGTTCATTGCCTCTGAAATCTCAGTTCTTTCTTGAAATGCTGAAATTTTATGCAGACACCCCATCTGCACTGGGGGCTTGGCAGCAAGCGGGTGAGACCCAGAGGCACCTCTAACAGGCTGGCTCTTGACTTCTCCTCCATTGGGGGGCTGGGAACTCGGGCTGCTCTTCTGCATTTTACATGACACTGGCCTGTCCAGCTTCTCTCCACGATGCCCAGGGATAGGCGCTGCATGTGCAAAATACAAATTGCCACATTGGGCCTCAGAGCAGGGACAGGTGGAGGAGAAAGGATAGCTGGGTCAGAGCAGAGGGCAGGGAAGCTGGTCCTGGGGTCAGAAGGCGGCTCTGACTCTCCTCTCTGTCTCCACAACCCCAAGTCTGCAAAACCTGCATCGTGCGCTACCTGGAGACCAACAAATACTGCCCCATGTGTGATGTGCAGGTGCATAAGACCCGGCCGCTGCTGAGCATCAGGTGGGCATGGCTGGCACCTCCTGCCCACGCGACCCCCTGGGTCAACCTCCCCCATCCCTTCTGCCCTCCATACTTCCTTCATCAAGGCAGCAGGTGTGGGAAAAGCACGAGGCGTGGACCTGGGCCACTTCCTTCCCTTGGGGTCACATCTGGCTTGTCACAGGCTGACATACCAGAGTGGCAAAGACCAGACCCACAGGGACCCCAGTGCCTGGGCGCCGGGTCTCAGGAAGGGGGTGGGAAGAGGGGTCCCAGGCCGGGAGAGCAGGGTGAGATCAGAGGAGTTCTCTGGAGAGCATGTGGCTGATAAGCCCTGTCTGTTTGTCCCCAGGTCTGACAAAACCCTCCAAGACATTGTCTACAAATTGGTCCCTGGGCTTTTTAAAGGTATCTGCACACCATTCCTCCTCCCGCCCACCGACCCCATTTCCCAACCCATGGCCCTGTCCTCATCCTGCTGCCTTCTTCCAGATGAGATGAAACGGCGGCGGGACTTCTATGCGGCGTACCCCCTGACGGAGGGTGAGTGTGCTCGCATCCATCTGTGTGTGCACGGGCGTGCCTGGGACCACGCAGGTGTGCAGTGCTACCACCACTCACCCTCTGACCTCCTCCACGCCTGCCTCCCCTGGTGGCCGGGCTCACCTGGCTGAGTTCATGATCCCTGTGTCCTTGGCGGGCTCCCTTCCTCCATCCTCCGCCTACCTGAGATTTCTGTCCTTCTGCAGTCCCCAACGGCTCCAACGAGGACCGAGGCGAGGTCTTGGAACAGGAGAAGGGGGCTCTGAGCGATGATGAGATTGTCAGCCTCTCCATTGAGTTCTACGAAGGGGCCAGGCAAGTCTGGCCCAGGCTGACCCCTTTTGGGCTCCTAGGCTGGGTTACCCCTTCTCCCACCTGGGGGCCTCTGGATGGGCGCATTGAGGGATCCTCCTCCTGGGTCTTCCTAGCTTTGTTCTTTCTCTGCCCCCAGGGAGCGGGATGAGAAGAAGGGCCCTCTAGAGAATGGGGATGGGGACAAAGAGAAAGTGAGTACTGGGGTCTGCCCAGGACTGGAATGTGGGCTGGGAGGGCGTGGCCTGGGCTGGACCCCATACCATGAGTGCCTGTGTCCCAGCAGACAGGGGTGCGCTTCCTTCGGTGCCCGGCAGCCATGACCGTCATGCACCTTGCCAAGTTTCTCCGCAACAAGATGGATGTTCCCAGCAAGTACAAGGTGGGTCCCTGGGCCTTTCAAAAAATGAATGTCGTGTATGGGTGTGTCTGACAGTCTGTGCACCCCAGGTGTTGTTCAGGGCTGGCTTAGGTGTCATCCAGGGCTCGCCTGGCTAACTGAGCCCACGTGTTAATAGAAGGGTGGTTCTAAGGGTTTAAAAAAGCAACCTTAAAAAAAAAAAAATAGAAGGGTGGTTGAAACCGAGATTAGGGTGGGGGCAGCCTCCGTGTGCAGTGGTGCATGGGACCAAGGTGGCATGTATGTGTACGTGCTTGCACACTGGAACTTCGACAGGGGTGAGTGTGGAACACGGGGCCTCGTCTGGGGCCAGTTGCCTGGGGGAAGGCTAGTCTGAATTCCAGTGGAGCTCTAGAACATGGCTTTTCAAGCTTGAATGTCTGTGTGTACCCTGGAGATCTTGTTAAAATGCAGATTCTGATTCAGTAGATTCCATATTTCTTTTCCTTTTTAGTAGATTCCACTTTTCTTTTCTTTTTTTTCTTTTTCTTGCTGTGTCATCAGGCTGGAGTGCAGTAGAGTAATCTTGGCTCACTGCAACCTCCGCCTCCCGGGTTCTAGCGATTCTCCTGCCTCAGCCTCCTGAGAAGCTGGGATTGGAGATGTGCAACACCACACTTAGCTAATTTGTGTATTTTTAGTAGAGACAGGGTTTCACCATTTGACCAGGCTGGTCTCGAATTCCAAACCTCAGGTGATTCGCCCGTCTTAGCTTCCCAAAGTGCTGGGATTACAGGTGTGAGCCACCACTCCCAGCCCTAGATACCATATTTCTTTTTTCTTTTTTTTTCCAGATGGAATCTTGATCTGTTGCCTAGGCAGGAGTTTTGCAATATCTACTCACTACAACCCCTGCCTCTCATATTCAGGCGATTCTCATGCCTCAGCTGCCCGAGTAGCTGGGATCACAAGCATGCACCACCATGCCCAGCTAATTTTTGTATTTTTAGTAGAGATGGGGTTTTTTTGGCCAGGCTGGTCTCGAACTCCTGACCTCAGGTGATCCACCCACCTTAGCCTTCCAAAGTGCTGGGATTACAGGTGTGAGCCATTGCGCCCAGCCTAGATTCCATATTTCTTTCTTTCTTTTTTGAGACAGTGTCTTGCTCTGCCACCCAGGCTGGAATGCAGTGGTGTTGTATCTTGGCTGACTGCAAACCTCCAGCTCCCAAGTTCAAGCAGTTCTTGTGCCTCAGCCTCCAGAGTAGCTGGGATTACAGGCATGCGCCACCACACCAGGCTGATTTTTATATTTTCAGTAGAGACGAGGTTTCACCATGTTGGCCAGGCTGGTCTCAAACTCCTGACCTCAGGTGATCCACCCCCCTTGGCCTCCCAAAGCTTTGGGAGTACAGGCGTGAGCCACTGTACCCAGCCAGGCATTGGTGTGTGTTTTTCTTTTTTTTTTTTTCTTTTTGAGATGAAGTTTTACTCTTGTTGCCCAGGCTGCAGAGTGCAATGGTACAATCTCGGCTCGTCGTAACATCGCCTTCTGGGTTCAAATGATTCTCCTGCCTCAGCTTCCCGAGTAGCTGGGATTACAGGCATGCACCACCATGACTAATTTTTTTTTTTTTTTTTTTTTTTAGTAGAGACAAGGTTTCTCCATGTTGGTCAGGCTGGTCTCGAACTCCCGACCTTAGGTGATCCTCCCACCTTGGCCTCCCAAAGTGCATTACAGGCATGAGCCACTGTGTCTGGCTGCATTGGTGTTTTTAAAAGCTTCCTGGGTGGTTCCATTTTGTAGCTGGGGGTGAGAGGCAGAGTTCCAGAAGATCCCCCTGAGCCCTTTCAACTCCTTGGGAGACCTGCTAGAGATAGGAGACCCAGACAGCTGTGTGCATGGTGGGGCCAGGCTGCTACCAAGAAGGAAATGGTCTCTGGACCCCTTCCTGCCTGGTGGTCAGGAGTTACGTTGGAACAGCTCCGACAGGGAAGTCAGATCCACAGTGAAACCCCCAAGGAATGAAGGACCATCTGCAAATCCACCCTTCCCATGGCCTCAACTCCCAGTCCCCACATTTCCAGCCTGGAGCCCTGAGCCTGGCCAGGGTCATGGTGTCCTCCACTTCCCTCCTCCAGGTGGAAGTTCTATATGAGGACGAGCCGCTGAAGGAATACTACACCCTCATGGACATCGCCTACATCTACCCCTGGCGGCGGGTGAGCCAGCGGGTGGGCAGGCAGGGAACAGAACCCCGCGGGGTCTGGCCTTGGTCTGCGGCCACATGGGCTGCCCTCCTCTTAACCAGAGACAGTCCATCCCTTGTCCCATGAGCTGCGCGTCCAGGGTGGCTTGCCACAGCAGGTCAGCCTCAGGGCCGTCTCTTGTGATGAGTTTCCACTCAGGAGACAAGACTCCTTGGGCAGATGGTGTCCCCTGATTTAGGGGCATAAATAGGTGCTGGTGGCTGCCACATTTTGGCCTCCCTCTCTCCTCTCTTCCTCTCTGACCAAGTCTCTCCTCTTAGACCTTTTGCCGCTCTGGGTTGTGCCCTGTGTCCTTGTCTCTCTCCTGAGGTCCTGTCCTGTCCCTTTTTTCTTGTTTGGACACTGGGGTGGAGCTGGTGGCCTTCTAGTTGGCCTCTCCTGACACCGTCCCCTTCCCTGTCTCTTTCCTCCTCCCTCTTCCCACAGAACGGGCCTCTCCCCCTCAAGTACCGTGTCCAGCCGGCCTGCAAGCGGCTCACCCTAGCCACGGTGCCCACCCCTTCCGAGGGCACCAACACCAGCGGGGCGTCCGAGTGTGAGTCAGTCAGCGACAAGGCTCCCAGTCCTGCCACCCTACCAGCCACCTCCTCCTCCCTGCCCAGCCCAGCCACCCCATCCCATGGCTCTCCCAGCTCCCATGGGCCTCCAGCCACCCACCCTACCTCCCCCACTCCCCCTTCTGCAGCCAGTGGGGCCACCACAGCTGCCAACGGGGGTACCTCGAACTGCCTGCAGACACCATCCTCCACCAGCAGGGGGCGCAAGATGACTGTCAACGGCGCTCCCGTGCCCCCCTTAACTTGAGGCCAGGGACCCTCTCTCCCTCCTTCCAGCCAAGCCTCTCCACTCCCTCCACTTTTTCTGGGCCCTTTTTTCCACCTCTTCTACTTTCCACAGCTCCTCCCACCTTGGGGGTGGGGGACGGGTTTTATAAATAAATCTATATATATATGTACATAGGAAAAACCAAATATACATACTTATTTTCTATGGACCAACCAGATTAATTTAAATGCCACAGGAAACAAACTTTATGTGTGTGTGTGTATGTGTGGGGAACGTTGTTCATTTTTTGGGGGGTCTTGTGTAATTTGCTCTGCTCTTCTTGGGGGGGGTGCCTAGAGATGAACTGGACAGGCCACTGGAGGTTCAGTCAAGCTCTGTGCTGTCCTCGCTGTTCCCAAGGCAGATGGGGTGTTGGGGGCCCCTTCAGCCCCAAAGTCCTAGGCACAATTCTGACTGTCTATAGGAGCCAGTTAGAACTGTTCCTCTCCCCCCGTTTCTTGCCCCATCTTGGCTGCTGTCCTGCCTCTGACCAGTGGCCGCCCCCACATTGTCGAATGTCCAGAAATTGCTAAGAACAGTGCCTTTTACAAACGCAGTTTATCCCTGGGTCTGAGGAGCAAGTATGGGGTGGGGGTGGCACCTCCCTCACCTCCTCCTCTTGCAGTGGAAACTTTGTGCAAAGAATAGATAGTTCTGCCTCTTTTTTTTTTTCTCTCCTGTGTGTGTGGCCTTTGCATCATTTATCTTGTGGAAAAGAAGATTCAGGCCTCGAGAGGTCTCAGCCCTGGAATTCCACTGTGGCGTTAGCATTGTGAAGTGCTTCACCCCCACCACCCCTGCCCGCACCCGGGACCCCTCACTAGCAGGACTGGTGGTGGAGTGTCACTCGGGGCATAGAGCGGAGGCGGGGGTGGGTTAACCCCACACAAGCACAGACCCCAGACTTTGCCAAAGGCACACAGCCCTCCAGTGGCCCCTCCACCCCCAGCTGAGGCCCCGGTCACCTGGTCAGGACAGAGCAACTGCGTCTAAAAGCACAAGAAAACAGAAACCTGTAAGCTCTGGCCCCACCCCAGCCCCAGAGGGCAGCGGACCACTGCCTAGGGACAGAGCCGGCAGGTCCTGCCCACTGAGAGTTCCTCAAGTGTGCATAGATCTGGGAGGCAGCAGGAGTCAGGACTTGAGATTCCATCCCAGCCTAGGTGTGTGGGGTTGGAAGCCCCAGTGGGCTTGACTGTGTTTGCGCCTTGTCCTGTGTCTGAGGTCCTGTGACTGTGCCCTCCTCTGCCCTGGGGCATCTGTATCTCTTGGCTTTGTAATAAATGCTGCATACTTTCTGGAGCCTGTAGTTATTTGGGGTAGAGGGAAGACGGGAAAGGTGCCTTGTCTCTGGGTTCAGCCTGGCTTGGGGACCCCATATGGAATGAATGAACTGCCCTCTCCTGTGGCTGCTCAGGTGCCCCCAGCCACACACAGGTTAAAATCTGGAGCAGGAGGCAGCACGTGAGCCTCATACCAGTGACCACAGGACCAATCTGGTTGGGCAGGCTTCTTTATACCGTCTTCTCTGTCAGCAAACATTGACCCAGGGCACACTCCCGCCAACCCCAGACTGGAGACCTTCACGTTATAAGGAACAATTCTTCCTTCGTGAGCCAGACATTGGTACCAGGTCTTGGGTTCAGCACCTGTTTTCTTCCCCACAGAAGGGGTGCCTGTCACAGGCCTGGAGCCGAGCCCACCTGTGACTAGACAGCCCCTTCAGAGTGGGGAGCCCACCTCTGCCTTCTGCACACGCTCACTCCTGTGGGTGCCATCGCAGTACGGGGGCCTCTGGGTGGCCTTGCAGGTACAGAGTGCCATAGTACGCGTCTCTTGGGCCTTGAACTTGAGTGGAGATAGGCCAGTGCGTTGGAAGAAGTGGGAGCCGTCACAGAAGGGCTGGTGGGTGAAAGATGGGAGTCGAAGACCTGACCTCACCTGCTGGGGCAGGTTGGGGCAGGCTTTGGGAGCTCAGGGGGAGTGGGGACAGTGGTTAGGGTACAGGCTCCGGAGCGAGACTGCCGGGACTCGCTGAGTGACCTCTGTTCTGTAATGTGGGGTGATAGAAGCTGAGTTGGATGAGGAAATAAAATAATGATCATGGTGCACTTTGCCTGTAGTAAGTGTCTGGTAAGTATGTACAGTGTTTATAGCATTAGTATCTGAGGCAACCAGAGGGCCAAGACATTAATAGGTGTTGGGGGGGGGGTGTGTGTGTGTGAATGGCTCTGAGTCTCCTTGTTGGCTCCATGGAACAACTGGGCATGTGACAGGGAGTAAAGGTTACAGGGAGGAGGGGATGCCCCGTAGCTAACTGGCTGCCTGGCACCGGAGTGCCCTCCCCATCCCAGAAGCCGCTCAGGCAGAGACTGGGTAATGGAAACAGGCCCAGAGAGATGACATGCCTTACTAGTTAGAGGCAGAACTGGTGGTGCCAACGCTTTTTTTTTTTTTTTTTTTTTTTTTTTTTCTGAAAGGGTCTTGCTCTGTTGCCCAGGCTGGAGTGCAGTGGTGCAAACACAGCTCACTGTAGCCTCAACCTTCCGGGCTCAAGCAGTCCTCCTTTCTTAGCCTCCATTGTGGCTGGGAACACAGGTGCACTGCCATGCTATTTTTTGGTGGGGGTAGAGGCATTTGTAGAAATGAAGTCTCAACTTTGTTGTCCAGGCTGTTCTTGAACTCCTGGGCTGGAAAGATCCTCCTGCCTTGGCTTCCCTAAGTGCTGGGATAACAGGTGTGGGCCACCTTGCCTAGCTGAACCAAGGCCTATTGACATTGGAGTCGGGGTGGGATGGGAGGAGAGGTGAGAGAAGTGTGCAAACAGAAAGCAGAAGCTTGTCTTAGAGGGCTTGAGGCAGAGGTGTGTAGACCTAAGTGGGACCCAGGACCCTGGGCTGCTGACACCATGCCACATAGCTTGAAGGAACACAGGTCTGAGCTCTCTCAGGAAGGAAAGGGGCCAGGGAGGCGAACAATATGGGTCGGTTCCTGCTGAGACGAAAGGCTCCTGGGAAGAAGGGGAAGCAGGTGGGGACAGGCAACGAAGCTTAGAAGACAGCAAGCTGTGACAGGCGGCCAGGAAGTCCCATAAACTGAGAAGGATGAGTTTTCTGGAAGAAGAGCGGAGAGGGGCACGGGGGAAGGCTGGAAGGCTTTAGAGGCAGGAGAACCTGGGCAGAATCCCTTCCCAATGTCAGGGTTCAAGGCCTGGGAACCTATGGCCCAGATGCTTCCTGGAAGAACGAAGGAGACGGGAGACAGCCTCGTGGGCTCCGCCATGCAGTGCACCTCTGAGAAGCAAACAGCCCCCAGAAGAGCCCACCGGAAGCCCGGCTGCACCCGGCTGGCTGTTGGACCAAGTGTCTCTCTGGCTTCATTGCAAGGGGTAGATGCAGTGAGCTTAAGGCTGCTGGGGGCACTGGCCTTTTATCCCCAAGCCCCCTCGGTGTCCCTCAGACACTCGTGGGAAGAATAAGACCGTCCTGGGTGGGAACGCCCAGCCAGGAGTATTAGTAGGAAGGCAGGCAGGGGTCTCACCTGCTTCTTGCTGCGGCCACACACACACCATCTGTAGGTTTTCCCTGCCACCAGCTCCACCTTGATGGGTGTCTTCAGGGCCACCACGGACCTGGCTGGGGTTCTGGGGAACCACCGGGCCTGTGGCCAGGGAAGATCAGGGGCTCAGGGTTAGCTCAAGCCCTGGAAGCATCTTCCTGCCTGCGACCCTTCCCGGTTTCCCACTGGCCTTTGTGGGCGGCAGGTTTCCTTCACCGGAGGCTGATATGACTCCACTCAGCAAGACCTTTCCCCAGGACACCATGAGGACCGTGAGCTTTGGATTGGGAAGTGATTTCAAAGCCAGGTTTCAGGCACTCAGGTTTCAAGGTCCAGCTGCCTGCCCTCAAACTCTGGTGCCCACCTGGTGCTAGGGTGGGCAGGGATCCTGTCAGCCTATGGCAGGGCCACCCACACTGGGGCTTGGTTCATCAGGTGCTGCTATCCTCAGCACAGAAGATTGGCGCCCCGCTCCGTGCCCTGTGCTCCACCCCACCTCCCCGAGAGCCACTGGCTAACTCCAGGTGCCTGGAGTTTGGAGGAATAGGGCTGTACCCTTCCTAGCTCTATTCCTTGGTCTCTGCCTTTAGATCTCTATGCCTGGAGGTCTTGTGCGAGGAGGAGGGGAGGCTGGGGGTACTTACCAGCCAGGAAGAGACGTCCCGCCGCGTGTTCAGGTCCTGCAAGGTACGCAAGCATCAGGAGACAGTGGTTTGGAAACAGAAAAATAAAATGAGTGGAAAGGGAAGGAGGCGGGAGGCCATCTAGGAGGGAGGTGACCGGGCTAAAGGGGCTAGGGAGAAACAAGAGGGTAAGAAAAAGGGGTCGCAAGAGAAGGTGCTTGCTGGGGAGGTTCTGGCAGCCACTGGCGCTCGGGAAAAGCCTGTGAGCTGAGGCCAGCCAGGCACCGGCGGGGCAGGCTGGGGGCTCGGGGGCGCTCGGCCGGGGTCGGAGCCGGAGTGCGGACTGGCAGGGGCCCGGGTGGAGGCCTGGGTGGAGTTCGGGGCGGGGGCGGGGATGCTCACCCGGGCGCCGCGCGCAGCGCACCGCAGGATCGCCCCCACGCCACGCATAGCTGGCTCCAGCGCCGAGCCCGCCCGCCGGCTTCGCCCACGCCGGGTCACCTCCCCGCCCCCTGTCCCCGTCCAGTCAGGCTGCGTAATACGCCACGGGGTTCTGCGAGGGCGGAGGCCAGGGGCCCGCGGGTCCGGAAGCCGGGGCGTGAGCGGTCGGTCCCAGCGCCCCCTGCCGGGCGGGCCTGGCCGCGGAACGCCAAGGGCGCAGCCTTGGCGCCTGGGCCACCCCTCGAGCGCGCAGGACCTTCCCGGGAGCTGCTATCCCCGGCCGAGTTTCGGTCGCGCTTCTGGGAGCGAGCACGCGGGCGTGGCGTCACCTCGGGTCGGGGCCCACGGACTGATGCACCGTGTGGGGCGGGTCCGGGCGTGCTGAGCGTTCGCGTCTGGGCACGCACTGCCTCTGTAAGTGCCGACAGAAGGGTCGCAGCCCACGCCCTCCCACCCTCCCGCAGTTGGCACCCACCTCCTGTCCCCTTCCATAAAGCCAGACCACACAGGGGCTCTTTGGTTTTTTTTTTTTTTTTTTTTTTTGCAAAACATTCTTTTATTAAAAGAACAAGTGCTGTTTACGAACGGCCCTTCGTACAAATAACATCCGTTATACAAAGATACAAGATCCGGGTTATGCACAATTCCAGGCTTGGAGGTGGCAGAGGGGCATCGCCTTTGGGCTGAGGATATCAAGGTTTTAGAAAGAATGAAAAAGGAGCCCCTGGGTTTGCAATCTGTGGCTTCCCCTCCCTGCTCCCTTGGAAGGGTCTGCAACACGGAAACAGGCTGGGATGGAAAGGGGGAGGGACGGGAGCAGGGTGGGGTCTCCAGTCCCACCACCCAAGTCCCAAGTGGAGCTGGAGAAAGTGAACAAAGGGTAATGAGGGTACCCCTCGGTTCCCAAGTTTTCAGTAGATCAAGACAAAGTGGTCAGGAGCTAATCACACTCTCAATCTGGGTCGACGCAGCGGCAGAGAGCCGAGACCACTTTGCCCACCTTCCTCAGAATTCCCAGTTGAAGTTACCTCACTCATAGGCACCTCTCCCCAGGAAAATAAGTTGAGATAAAAGAGAACTGGGTGCAAGCTGCCTATCCCTAACTGGCCCGCGGCACACCAAGGAAGATGCTAGCAGGGGCACCTGTGCCTTTGGAAACCTGTCTGCATTTTCAATCTGGGAAAGAAGTGTGGAGGTTGCCCTTTCTCGGAGCTGGCCCCTGGCTTGGGCTCCTCTCATTTCTCTAGACCCTTAATAAGAGTCTAGGGCAAGCACCTCCCTAGAACTCAGTATGAAGGGAATGGGCAGGAATCCCCTCATCAGCCTCAAGGTCAGGACACCTGAGGCAGCAGCAGACCCAGGAGCCTGAGGGGGAAAACCCACAAATAGGAAAAACAAACCCAGACAATCCTTAAAGTGTCACTGTCCACGGAGAGGATCCACCAGCTCTGAACTAAAACAGGGCCACACAGACACCCCCCACCCGGGCACAGCCCCACACTCGCACCCAGTGTCACACACACATGGACAGCCAGCCAGCCCTGTGGAGACCATGCTGTGGGGCAGGAGGCCAGACCTGAGGGCTGGTCCTGGCCCTGCCACTGAGCCCCATGCCTCTTCTAGGCTTGGAGCTGTCATCTGTGATGGGAAGAGCTGGCTGAAATGATCCCTAAAGACAGGTCCTTTCAGCGCTGTCATGCACCAGTTGTGACCCCACAGCAGGCACTGCCTCCATATGTACACCCACTCACACGTCCTCACCGAGGGTGGGAACACCTGACACTGCATGCTCCACACTCACACATCCTCGCTGAGGGTGGGAACACCCGACTGCATGCTCCCCACTCACACATCCTCACCAGGGTGGGAACACCACTCTCATGCGTTTTCAAACTCTTCTTCCGCTCTGCAAACCACATCCTTCCCCTCCCCTAGACAAAGAGATCTACAAATCTGGGTCTCTTCCCACCCCTTCCACCATCCAAATTCACTCTTGAAAAAGGGACTGAGGTTACAAAAGGGTGAGGTGGTTACCGCCATGCCCCTGGGCTGGCATCCTGCTCCTCCTGAAGCTTTTGAGACCTTTCCCATTGAAGCTCCCTCAAAAGAAGGAAATGCCACTTCTCTCCTGGGAGACTGGGGGAAAGAAGAGGGGCGTACCAATTCATACCCAACCTGGGCCCTGTCTCCAAATCTAACTGACCCGCCACAGTAGTCCAGCCTGGAGAATGCAAGCGGCTGGGGAAAGCTGGAGAACAGACACTTGGAGGCTAGAACCCCAGGTTTTGGGTTGGGTTGATGGAGGGAAGTGTTCTGAGCGGGGGTGGGGGGTCTTGGTTTCGGTGCACAGAATCGCTTGGACCTCTCACTCTTCAACACGGCAACCTTGGAGTAGATGTACTTCCCTTCCCTTCCCATCCAGAGAGAAGTTAAGTCTTGCTCTAAGTGGGCCAGCCTTGGGCAAGGGTGTGGTTGTGAAAGAGCAACTTTTCTAAGGATCTATGAAAGTTACTTTTCTTTTTTTTTTGAGACAGAATCTCACTCTGTTGCCCAGGCTGGAGTACAGTGGCACAATCTTGGCTCACTGCAATCTCGGTTCACTGCAACCTCAGCCTCCGAGGTTCAAGCAATTCTTGTGCCTCAGCCTCCCAAGTAGCTGAGATTACAGGCGTGCATCATCACACCTGGCTAATTTTTGTATTTTTAGTAGAGATGAGGTTTCACCATGTTGGCCAGGCTGGTCTCAAACTCCTGACCTCAGGTGATCCACCCACCTCAGCCTCCCAAAGTGCTGGGATTACAGGCATGAGCCACCACACCCAGCCTGAAGTTTACTTTTCTTTTCAGTGGTTTGGGGCAGGGAGTTATAGAGCTTAATAGATTAAAATGAATAAAATGCTGAATTCTAACATTTCTTTCTAACATATTTAGCATTAATAGAAAGTATTTCTGAGGTCATCACAACTGCCTCCCCCTCCCCCAAGCCCTTTGCAAGTGCCTAAGAAATTGCCTCTGAAGGATTCCCACCCCCTCCATTATCAGCTCCCTAACATCTTACAAAGTCTTATCAACAGGAATATTAATATTATTTTCAGTATCAGAAAAAAAACAACTGAGCAGCACAGGCAAAAATATATCTGCACTACGTTTCTGTCGTTGCCAAAAATATACACATCTTCTTTTATTAAAAAAAAAAAAAAAAACCCAACAACAAAAACCCAAACGGAAACACACACAGAGAAATCCACACATGCAAAGAGACTGACAAGGCGGGAGCCTGAGGAAGCGGGAAGCGCCTACCCCGGGCTCCAACCCCAGTGCAACCGAAGGACACAGGCTTCGCCTTGCCTCTCGCCTCTCTCCTGACTGTCCATTCAGCTTCTGTGCCAAAGGCCAGGGCAGGCGGAGACTCTTTTAAGGTGAGAAGTGCCCACGACACCCTGGGAAATAGCTGGTGGGTGAGGGACAGTTGTTAGCTCAGCTTAGTGGCTCCCCTGGTTGGTGGGGGTAGGGTGCAGGAGGCAGGCTGGCTAATTCTGGGAGGGAGGCTTTTGCTAAAAGCAGTGGCATTTTCCCCCCTTAGCTCCCCCCGCCAAGCCCTGGGGCTCCCCTTGTGCCAGGGAAGGACCAAGCTATCAGTGGGGTAGGGGGCCCTAAGGGGGCCCTGAGACCATATGGGGTCAGGGGAGGGAAGGCAGGATATTACCCTGATTCAAAGCCCAAGTCCCCAGGGACTCTCCAATATTGGAGTACTGCTCTGGTTTTTGTTAAGCATTCATGCCCCAGAGAGGGACGAAAGTTGGTGAGGTGGGGAGCGTGCAAATAAGAGCTGGGAGCTCCCCTCTCTGGTGCTGCTTCACTGACCACTGCACCTATCCCTGCTCTTGGCTGCCCCGGGTCCAGGGGGAGAGAGGCAGGCAGGCAGGCAGACACACACACACACACACACACACACACACACACACTCTCTCTCTCTCTCACACACACACAGAGTCAGGCAGCTCCATCTCCCCACCCTCGGCACTCCTAAGTCCAATAGTGCAAACAAAGGGCGGGGCACCAAGCAAGGCCGGTGCCTCCCCGAACCTGCCCTCTCCTCCTCATCACCTGGGCCCCAAGAGGTTGAGGGCTGAGTGTGATGCTGTTCTGCCCCTTCTCCAGCCCCCGCCATCCGTGGGCTTTTACAAGCTCAGCTTGTGCCCCTGCGCTGGGAGGGAGGGATGGCAAGAAAAAGTCCAAGGGGTCCCTTCTGCCATCTGCCCAAGCTGGGAAGAAACTGCAGGTAAAGTGGGTCCAGCCCTTCTTCCGTAAAAGATTTCCCCTCGGGGACAGGCCCAGGGCCTCTTGCTCCACTTCTCCCCATTCAAGTGCTGATCCATTTCATGTGACAGGTCCAACGAACCCCTACTTCGGCCATGGCCCACTTTGCTCTCAGGGACCCCCAAAACATCTGCTGGGAGTGGAGCTCCTAGGTGGGCTTGTGGACTGTCCTTTCTCTGAGCCTCACAAAGCGGACAGTGCAGAAAGGGAAGGGGGCCAGATGGAAGGGGCTCCCCTCCAGTCCCAGTCCTCGGCACCAGGAGCTCGCCACACTCCCTGGACCTCAGCACTGGGTCGGGGCTCTCCAGGGTCTGGGCGCAGGTGCCTGCTCCAGGGTAGGACCCCTCAGGCCAGGATCTGCTCCCTCCACTTAGGGGGTCAGGAGGGGTGAGGGTGGATTTAGCCTTTTTCCTGGTTGGCTGAGGCTCCTTTGTCAGCGGTCTGGAAAGAGAGGGAGGGAGGCAGGGCGTGTGGGAAGTGTCAGGTCTAACCCCCAGATGAGAACAGCTTCCTGGAACAAGAAAGCTGCTGTGGGGTGCTGCTGAAGCCAGGCCAGTGGAAGCCTCTGGCCTGTGCTCTGAGGAGTGCGCACAAGGGCCGACGCGCAGGGCTGTGAAAACCACCCTGCAGAGGAGCGCCGGGTTGCATGGGTATGTGCCAGTCAAGGCTTGTGCCTTCAGGAGGAGGAGGGAGGGCCTTTCTGACATTGGCCTATCCAGAGGGTCATCATTTTCTAATTGGTCAGCTCAGAAACAAAATGGCCTTTTCTGATTGGTCCTCCCAGAGGAAGGCTGTTTTCTCATTGGTCGTTTTCCTCTTAGCCCATGCTTAGACTGGATCTTTCTTGGCTCTCCAGGAGGGCACCCATGTGCCAGTAGAGGCCCTGGGTTCTGAGGCAGGGCACTTTACTGACCTAGGGATTGTTTCTTTTCCCCTGCTGAGGCACCTGATGATAAGCCTTCTGACAATCCATCTCTGTCTAGCCCTCAGAGGGGAGACAGGAAGGCCCCAGGCCCCTTACTCACCCCTCCTTTGGGGCCACCGCCACTGCCATCTGCCCCCGACAGGCTGAGGAAGGGGTTGGTCTGGGCAGTGAGGACTGGAGGTCCGCCTGCGGCTGCCACTGCTGCAGCTGCAGCTGCTGCGGCCATGAGACTTGTGTTGTTGCCAAGTGAGGGAGCCACTAGGGCTCCGGCGGGCAGCAGGGGTGGAGCAGACGCCGTGGGCAGCAGGCCAGGGGTGCCCGCAGACAGCAGCGGGGTGGAGCTTCCTGCCAGCAGGCTCGCCATGGGCAGCTGGGAGCCCCCGGCCATCTGCAGGCGCTGCAGCTCCCGTTTCTGCTGGATCTGCTGGATCATCTGGTAGACAACAGTCTGGTGTTCCTGCAAGGAGGCCAGACTGCTTGTTGGGCAACAGTCCCAGGGGTCTCTTCCCTGCTGCTGCCTGCCCTGCTTGGCCGGGCCCCCACCCCATCACACTGGAACCAGGAGCCAAGAGGCCTGTAAGACAGTCAAGGTACTCAGCCTCGGTCTCCCCATCTAGACAAGAAAATGGTTGCACGCTATTGGTGTTTGCCAGCTGGGGCGCTGCCCGCCAAGAGCAGGGTATTTAACACCTCTGGCCCTGCCCACTGATTCACCCCTCAGCTGCCAAGACAACCACAGACACCTCCAAGTTTAAAAACAATAGGCTAATAGTTTTCTTTTTTTGAGACTGAGTCTTGCTCTGTCATCCAGGCCGGGGTACAATGGTACGATCTTGGCTCACTGCAACCTCTACCTCCCAGGCTCAAGCAATTCTGATGCCTCAGCCTCCCGAGTAGGTGGATTAGGCTCCTGCCACCACACATCTAATTTTTGTATTTTTAGTAGAGACGGGGTTTCGCCAAAACTATTGACTAGGTCGATAGTTTTCAATTTGCCGAGCATGGTGGCTCATGCCGGGAATTCCAGCACTTTGGGAGGCCAAGGCAGGCAGACCACCTGAGGTTGGGAGTTCAAGACCAGCCTGACCAACCTGGCGAAATGCTATCTCTACTAAAAATACAAAAATTATTAAATGTGTTCAAGGAAATTATAGTAAGATGAATGCATCTAATAAAAAAAAATACAAAAATTAGCCAGGCGTAGTGGCAGGTGCCTGTAATCCCAGCTGCTCGGGAGGCTGAGGCAGGAGAATCACTTGAACCCAGGAGGCGGAGGTTGCCGTGAGCCAAGATCATGCCATTGCACTCCAGCCTGGGCAACAGAGTGAGACTCAGTCTCAAAAAAAAAAAAAAAAAAAAAAGTAAAACTTTTCTCCAAAGGTAGTTTCAGCTGACATGACATGAGATAAACCAAAGAAGCTGCTCTGGTTGAGTGGCGTCATCTGTGCAGCCACTTAGACCCTGGAGTTTCCCCTGAACGTCCTTGGGGCTGGGACTGAAATGCTCAGGACTAAGGACTTGCTGGCCTCCAGAGTCTCTCAGCAGGATGTGACCTGGGTATTACAGCAGGCCTTCCTCAATGCCCAGGGGACCCTGGGCATGATCTTATCCCCTTACCTCCCATGGATGCCCCACAGGGCCCAGCCCCAGTCCCACTGGCCCAGCCTGGAGCTTCCCCTCCTTCTCTCTGCTCCTGCCCTCTCCCAGCTGGCCCAGATCCTCTGAGATGAGCCCTTCCAGGCAGACCAAGGGGCACCTGAGGCAGGGAAGAGAGGAGCATTACCGGGGTCAGCTGCGGGGAGGCCAGGAGCTGCTGGAGTTGCTGGAGCTGCTGCTCTTGCTGCTGAAAGAGGTGTCTCTGCTGCTCTGTAAGGCTGAGGTGGGGATGGGGTTGGGGGACAACACACAGATCATGGCGGAGGGCCAGGGAAACACTCCTGCTCCCACTCCCAAGTCCCCAGACTCCATCAGACCCCAGGGAAGCAAGGCAGGGATGTGTGATCTTAGAGCACTGTGCTCAGAGGGTGCAGCGGGAGGGATACAGGTCTGATTTGGAAGAACTGTCCCGGAAGGAAATCCTGGAGTAAAGAACAGGAAGTAAACAACTCTTTGGTCCCCGGGGAGCTACCGTCCAGAGGACACTCATGTCTAACAGTCTGTGGAGTCCCTAGAAGCCAAGAGGTGACTAGGATTATATAACCTGTGAGACCAGAGGCCATTTTTCCTTTTAGGGATTGTGGGTGTTGTGGGGAGCATCCCTCCCTTACCAGAGCCAGCCCCCCACCCGGTTCCCTTTCCCAGGGCTGAGCTCTCCCTCACCTGTTGAGACAGCCTGGCAGCTGCAGCGTGGGGGCCCCGCCAGCCTGGCTCAAGCTTGCAGGGTTGGGGGCAGCGGCCCCATTCAACCCCCCAAGGAGCCCATTGAGGGGAAGGCCCCCACTGCCTGCCAGCCCCCCCAACAGCCCCTCAGCCATGGGCATGGCCCCCAGCCCCGCTGCCCCTGGTGCCCGGCCCAACCCGTTCTGCGGCTGGGGTGGGAGTGGGGCAGGGGCCCCAGGCAGGGCCAGGGGCAGAGTGGCAGGGCTCTGCTGGAGCAGGGGCAGCGGTGGGGGCGTGCTGTGGAAGGACAGCGACGAGCTGCTGCGGCTCGGGCAGCCTGAGTGTGGGTCCTGGGGAGGGAGGGGAAGGGAGGGGTCAGAGGGCCAGCATGAGCTTTCTGGCCCCTGGCCCAGCACCCACCAGCATTCTCACAGAGCACAGCAACCCCCACTTCACCCCCAGGCACCCTGGAAGAAGCAAGGTCCGGGGATGAGAGCTAAGAATCCAAACTGTCTTCACAAATCTTGTTTCCTGACCCTCTCCTGGATGCCCATTTAATAATGGACATCCTCATTTAATAATGGACAATGATGATGGTGGTGACCATCTAGTGAACCAGATCCTGGGCTGAAGGCTTGACCTGTGCTATCTTGCTATTCTCAATTTATGGGTAAAGCTATAGATTCTGCACAGGTTAAATAACTCTGCAGGCAAAAGAACTACAGCCGAGGTGAAAGCCTCAGGTTCAAATTCTATGTCCACGATTCAATGGCGTGGGTGACCTTGGGTTCAACCTATCTTAGTTTACTCATTCATAAGCTGGGGGTTAACAGTAGTACCTATTCCATACGCTTACGATGAAGACTAAGTGAATGCTTTAAAAAATCTCAGCACAGGGCATGACAAAGGGCAAGTGTGCAATTAATGCTGGTTATGATGATGATGATTACTGCCCAAGTCACACAGTTAATAAATGGCAGAGAGAGAACAAGAACCCAGTTTGTTGGATTCCAATAATAACCACAACACAACAATAGCAACTGCTATTCCAACCACCACCAATTACACAGGATTATTTTGCGTGAGGCGCTATAATAAACCCTTCACAAATACTCTCCAAGAAGCCCTCCCTAACCACTTGCTATCCACAGAAGCAGCCTTCCCCCGTCCTCCCTCTCACAGCTCTCAATTTCTCTCCACCCTAACATGTCTCCCAGTTGGTAATTACTCCTCCTTTGCTTGAGGTAGCCTATCTCAGAAGCAGCACTGTGCCAGTTTTGCTCACTGATTGCTTAGCCTGGCACTAAGTGGGCACCTCATAAATATTACTTGATTAAGGGAGGAATGAATGGATCAATCGATTGCTCAGCCAATCACTTCACTGCCCAGCCGCCAATTGCTGCAGGGTAGAGATGGGACCAGAAGAGCCTTGAGTTTCCCCCTTCTTCCTGCCCCACTCCTCGCAGTGCCCACCTCAGAAGAAGTGGACAGCGAGTTGTCCAGGCCGAGGCTGCTCTTTCCCGGAGGGCTCTTGCTGGTGCTCAAGGAGTCGCTGCTGCCTGCTGCGGGAGGGATATCACCGGCTGCAGTGAAGACCAGTCCGAAACTGCATGGCAGGGCCCTCTCTCCCGGGCTGGGTGGGATCCTCTTACCTTGGGGAGGCAGGCCATAGGGCCCAGAGACAGGGCCGTTGGCGGTAGGCAGGGCAGCAGGCAGGGCAGGGAAGGGCACAGAGAGCTGCACGTTGAGAATCTGCAGCCGCTCCTTCTTGGCCGTCAGGCTCAGGATCTGCTCTTGCAGCCGCTGGTTTTCCTTCTGCAGCGCGTGCAGCGCTTTCAGCATCTCCACGACTGCGGAGACAGCGAGGAACCTGAGGCCGGGGCGAGGAGGGGCGGGGCAGGGGCGGGGCCTGGAAGGGAGTCAGGGCTCAGCCCTCAAAAAGGAGGCGGCAGCCTAAGGAAAGGCACAGGTGAGCTCTGAGGAGAAAGGCGGGGCCTGGGGAGCCACGGGTGTGAGGACAAGGGGTGAAGACTGAGGCTGAGGTCGAGGCCACAGGGATCAGGAAAGAAGGGCGGAAACTGCGGTTTGGTAAGGTCGGGGCCCGGAGGCCAAGAGGGCCAAAGGTGGGGCACACACTGGCCAGGACCGGTAGCGTGGCCCGGCTGGGATGAGAGGTGAGGCCCGGGGTGGCAGAATCAAGGCTGGGGCAGGGCCTAGGGGCGGAACCTTAAAGCCTGGGGACCTCGGGGAGAAAGGTGACATTTGGGGCCCTAGGACAGGCGTTCCAACCGGTGCCACCCCTCCTCACTGTTGACGCCGGCTTCCCCGTCGCCCTGCTTCTCCAGCAGCTGCTCCATGTTAGTCGTCCCTGGGGCCGCCGGGTCTAACTGGCCGCCCCCGCAGGGTGCAGAGGCTGTCTGGTCGAAGAGTGCGGGGAGGCTGCTGATGGGGGACCTGCGGCCAGAGGGAACCTGGACTCAGCTGACCTGACCACTCCAGGCTCCTCCGTCCCTTCCCCCGTACCCCCGAGGGGTTCCAGCCCGCGCCCTCCTCTCTGCCCCTCCTCCCTCGGATGTCCCTCCAGCCCCCTGCCCCTCCTCCAGGCCGCCCCTTCCCTCACATGGAAGACAGACTCTCCTGGGGGGAGGTCCCCCGACACCGGAAGCTGCAGTCCTCCAGGTCTGGCTCTTGGAAGAAGGGAAGACTGGGATCAGAGAGGAGGAGTGCTCGCTGCCCCAGGGTCCGCGCCCCCGAGGTGGGTCTGGGATTGGGACCTCACCGCAGATCATCTTCCCCAAGAATTTCCAACCCCAGATTGGCAGTTCAAGGCCAGCGCTGAGGGCCCTGGCTTGGAAACCTTGCCCCTGGGAGGCAAACCCCGGGCGTCTGCTCTCTTTTCCCCCTCTAGGCTGAAGGCTCCACTGGCTTCTTTCAGATCCGCCACCCAATTCCTTTCCTGGGATCTTCGGAGTTATAGAAATTTATGGTCAAGACAGACCTGGATTAAACTTAAACCTGACACCAACTTGTGTGACCCTGGGCTCCTTCCTAACCAGCCTCTCTCAAGTGACTGTTATTATTAAAAGAAGATAATAAATGTGTTTAGCTGAAGAGTTTAGCTGGCATGTAGCAAGCCCTTAATCACTGCAGCTATTATCATAATTAGCTCTGTATGACTTTTTGCTTTAATCAGATCCCTAATTAGGAGGCAAAAACTCTTCCTTGGGCCACAGAATCCTGATCTGAGTTTTAACAAATATATCACCCTACTCTACCGTTCTAAAACGTGGAATCCTATTTGTCCCCTTTAAGAAGGCTTACCTGAGCCGGGAGCGTGGCTATAAGCCCTGCCTCCCAGCCTGACAGGTGGTCTCCCTGCACCAATCAGCTCTCTGGGGCTAGGCTGACTCTCCAGGGAGAGGGCGGGGCGCTTGTGTCCCGCCCCTTTAACTCCTAAATACCCGGAGAGGTTGGGCCCTTCGTAAGTGCTGATCCCAGGGACACACCAATAGGCCAACGGGGAGGCTACACTACACCAGTGAAAGCACTGGGATTGGAGTCGGGAGACCAGAATCTGAGTTTTGGCTCTGCCATTCCCTGCCTTGAGCGAGTCTTCCATCTCTGCCTTTTTCTTCTGTGAGATGGAGCAGTAACTGCCCTGCCCTGCCTTCTCATTGGGTTTTAAAGTGAAAGTGTACTCTGGTTTACTGCGTGTGGATTTTTTTTTTTTTTTAAGAGACAGATTCTCCCTATGCTGCCCAGGCTAGTCTCCTAAGTAGCTGGGATTATAGATGGCAGCCACTGCGCAAGGGTTTTGTTTGTTTTGAGACAGAGTCTTGTCACCCAGGCTGGAGTGCAATGCTGGGATCTCGGCTCACTGCAACCTCCGCCTTTCGGGTTCAAGCAATTCTACTGCCTCAGCCTCCTGAGTAGCTGGGATTACAGGCGCCCACCACCATGCCCAGCTAATTTTTGTATTTTTAGTAGAGACAGACGGGGTTTCACCATGTTGGCCAGGCTGGTCTCCAACTCCTGATCTCAGGTGATCCGCCCACCTCCCAAAGTGCTGGGATTACAGGCATGAGCCACCTCACCCAGCCTGTTTGTTTTTGCGGGGAGGGCAATGGCCAGAGGGAGAGGGCAGCCAGAAAGCTCTCCCATCCTTTTTGGGGTCACATGCAAGTGATGGGTATTAGACCTTTGGGAACGGGAGGTGGGGGGTCAGAGATTCACATACCTGTGTGGCTGCTCTCGGCTTGGGGGAGGAGGGGGTTAACGGCACCCATGGGGGTTCCAAAGACGTGGGTGGAAGGGAGGCTAAAGGTAGAGCCAGCCAGAGAAAACACCTGAGGGAGGGAGGCAGAATGCAGCCTGGCCGTTAGTCTTGAATCTAGGCACAACTGTGTGTACTGGGGTACAGGGGGCCAGGTGTGCTGGGGAGCAGAGTGGACCAGAGCCCAGAAGGAGGTCTGGTGGCAAAAGCCCAGTTGCTCCAATTCCCATGGAAGGCTGGAGTCCTCTGCCAGTCTGTCCCCAACCTGCCCGGGGAAGGAAGAGCCCAGGAGTCAGGTCTCACCTGAGTGGTGGAGATAGAAGCAGAGGAGTTGGGGAGGGTGCTGGTGAACGGGGATCGGCTGAGGCGGGGCAGGGCCGAGGTCCCTGGGGGCCCTAGCAGGCTGGAGGAGAGGGGGGTGCTGCAGACAGCCCGCAGCATCCCGCCAGTGTGGGAGATGGGGTCCTTATTACTGGTGTAGATGCCTGCAGGCACAAGGACAGAGGGAAGCACACAATTACCTCCACCCCTGATTCCTCCTCAGCCAGGTGGCTGCGACAGCCCCTCCCCAGCTAGAGTGCTCCCCAGGATCTGACTACACACCCTAGTCTAACCCTCTTGCTGCAAAGATGTCACTTTTTGCCTGGGTGACATCTGTTTGCTGTGCCTGCTTGTTAAACTGCCCTGCCTGGGGCTGGGGAACTCCTAGCTTTTCTAATCTCCTGCCCAAAACTTGGTAAAACCTGCTGGCAATCTGCCCCCAATCCTTTCCACTCCAGCCATGCATAGGGGGATGTCCTGGAGGTGACTGTCACCTCCTTACTCTAGCTTTTGGAGTGGTATCCATCCCATTTCCTTCTAAGTGCATGTGTAAGCTCTGTTCCTCACTAGACTGGCTGGGCCCTGAAATGCCGTCCATCCCCAGGGGTCACTAACCTGCCCCTAGCAAGGGGGACTCCAGGCTCAGGCTGGGCAAGCTCCCAGAAGGCCCAAAGGTTCGGGAGGCCAGACCTCCCAGGCCAGAACTGACCAGGGAGCCTCCGGAGAAGGGTGAGGCAGCAGTGGCGGTAAAGCCAGCCAGCTGGGCACTGGGCAAGGACGGGGTAGCCAGGCCCCCAGTGCCCTCCTTGTTTCGGCTGCCCTTGGGACGGCCTGGCCCATGGCGGCTCCTCTTGCTGGCTTTGTGCTTCTTCTCCTTCAGGCCTGTCTCAGGGGTCTCCTCAGCAGGCACAGGGGTGGCACTCAGTGTGGGCATCCGCTTGTGGGTGCCTGCTGAGGCCCCAGACCCCGTGACGTGTGGAGACTTATAGTCCCCAGGGGAGGGCGCCCGGGTCCGGCCTGAGCTGGAGGTGGTGGTGGAGAAGCGCATGATGGGCCCAAAGCCAGAGAAAACCACCTTCTGCTCAAAAAGGTCAGCCTTGGGGGGCTCCGGGGCTGAGGGAGAAGGCGGGGCTGAAGCGGCGGGGGCTGTGGGCTTGGGGTACTTGTCCTCCTCTGGCTGTTCCAGCTTGGGGAATGCAGAAAATTCAGGGGAGCTCTGCAGGGACGAGACTGCACAGACAGAAAACAGGGTTACAGCTGGAACCCGGGTCCTCTCACTCCCTCCCACTCCCGCGTGTACTGGCGGGAGAGAGCTCTGGTCCAGGAATGGGAACACTTGGGTTTCCTGTCCCAGTTCTGCCACTGTCTGTGTCCTGGGATGAGTACCCCGACCCCTCCAGCTTTCCCACCTGTAATAAAATGGGGGAGAGTAACTCGCACCCCACTGGCCTCACCAGATGACTGTAGGGATTATAGGAGATAATGTTAATGAGGGTGCTGGCAAAATGGCACCTTGCAGCACAAATGCAAGGGATAAGAATACTGTTATGGGGTAGGCGGGGCAGCCCCTGATGGGGAGAGGAGGAGAGTTCTGGCTCAAGAAGGAAGGACTGAGGGGCAGGTTTGGAGAGGAGTCACTTGGTGGGGATCCCCCATCTTTATCCTTGTAGATATGTACATGGATAATATACATGTAGATATGTACATGTAGATGTACATGGAACCATGTAGAAGTAAATGAGATGCAAACCAATAATGCAAAGTCCCTCGCCAGAAAAGCTCAGGACAGAAGGCTGTCCCCACTGCACTCCCAGCCTCCTTCCGGATGCCCACACTCACCTGCAGGCTGGAAGGGCCCCCCAGAGGAGGAGGAAGAGGAGGAGGAAGAGGAGGAGGCGGAGGTAAAACTGCTCACACCTTTCCCACTGCTCAGTTTCTTCCCCTTATGACTCAGGCTATGGCTGGAAGACTTTTTCCCCTTTGAGTCCCTGCTGCTCTCAGAGGTCTCCTGCGTGCTGGCCTCGTGGTGGGAGGAAGAGGAGGCCGAGGAGGAGACCTGAAGGAGAGGAAAAGAGAAGGCTCGATACCAGCTGCCTGGGCCGTGCTGATCCTGGCATGGGAGTGAAGCAGGAGGGCAAAGGATCTGGCTCAACTGGGAGACCCCACAGCTAGCTACATGAAGGACTTCTGGGCAGGGAGTGGCTGGGAGCTCCTAGACCAGGGATATGGGGAGGCAGCTGTGGAACTCCTGGGTGTGAGGCAGAGGGGAATTCACTGAACCCAAAAAGGTGTCTGTCCTTCACCCCAGGTGGGAAGATGGAGGGTGAGGGAGAGATGACAACAGTCCCAGAGTCAACTGATTTACTCATTGGTCCATTAATTCATTGAATACTTAGGCTGCGTGAGAGGGCTGGACCTATGCTAGCAGTGGGGGGCAGAGAAGAGGACCCACAGGAGAATGGGTTTCTCTGATGCCATCCTGGAGCCCTCCGGCTGCCACCCCAAACTTCAGCCTCCTGGTCTCCCACCCATTCTCTGACCACCCATGGTCTTCCTAGACGACCTGAGATTGCACACACTAAGCATCTGCCAGGAGAGCCTATCCTTACTCTTCCTGGGAAATTTCTCGTCCTTTAAAATCCAGCTTAGAAGTCCCTCTTCCCTGAAGCCTCCCTAAATACCTCAGGTACAACAAGGCACTCTGTCCCCTTGCTTCCAGAGCCCTGTGCACACATGACCACATGTCAACAGCTGCCATTCTGCACTGAAATATTCTGTCCTGTGTCTGAGGCACCAGAAACCAAGGAGAGCAGCAGGGTGGCAATTGAAGGAGCATGGGCTCTGGAGTCGGGCAGGGCAGGGCAGGGCATGAGCCTGGGGGGCTCTGCCCTTCACCACCTACTTTTTTAATATTTATTTTTTGAGAGAGAGTTTCACTCTCGTTGCCCAAGCTGGAGTGCAGTGGTGCAATCTTGGCTCACTGTAACCTCCACCTCCCCGGTTCAAGCGATTCTCCTGCCTCAGCCTCCCAAGTAGCGGGGTCAAAGGTACCGGCCATCACACCTGGCTAATTTTTTGTATTTTTAGTAGAGATAGGGTTTCACCATGTTGGCCAGGCTGATCTCGAACTCCTGACCTCAGGTCATCCACCTGCCTTGGCTTCCCAAAGTGCTGGGATTACAGGAATGAGCCACTGCACCTGGCCTCACCTCCATGTTATACTGTGCAATGTCTCAACCTCCATGAGCATCAGTGTCCTTATGGGGAGTACTAAGAGTATGTGGTGAATGAGAATCAGCGTGATGCCAGATACATGGTCTGAAGTCAATAAGTGATGAGGTGTTCCATGGCAGCAAGTGCAGAGACAGGGCTGTGGGCTGGTGAAGAGCACAAGCCTTCACCCAGACTGCATTTGAATCTCAACTCTACCACTTTACTCGCTGTGTGCTTTTAGGCAAATATTTAACCTCTCTGTGCCCCATGATCTTCATGTATTAAATGGGGTTCATAAATTACCAACTTCATTAGATTATTTTGAGTATTAATGAACTAATCTCCACATGTCCTTCCATCTCCTGGTTGTAGAACATAGTCTGGCATGCTGTGAGTTTGGGCTTCAGGCTGTTGCCAGGGATGGCCCTTTTCCTCCTGGTAGCGATGACCAGATATTCAGTTACTGGTGCTGAACAGACTAATGCTGAAGGGAGACTGGACAGAAACGACAGCTATCCTGCACTGCCCCTCCTGGGCGGAGTCCTGGTCTCTGTCTTCCTCTTTGTTCTTTTCAACAGCTGGAGTTCTGAAGGGAGCCAGATGTGGTTCTGAGAGCAGGGAAAGAGGGGCTGGGGGGAAGGGTAGCTGAACTGCTGGGGTGAGTAGAGGGGGATGGGCAGAGTTCTCTGGCATGTCCAAGGGACATCACATCCAGTTACTGGAGAAACTCCCAGATCCCTGGCCATTTCTTGCCACCTGCCTACAGGCCCCTGGAAAGGTCAGAGACCATGAATGACAAGCTCTCCAGGTGAGCCAAGGGAAGCAGGGAGGGGAGAGGTTTACTGGGGCAGTTGCCACAGCAACATCACCCTGGAAACCTGATACCTGAGCCTCCTGCTAAGGTGCCCAGAGCTCTGCCCACTGTTTGACGTGGGGTGGAGGTGAATGGGCACTAATGGTGACAGGAGGAAGCAGTTTTTCCAGCTCCCCCCATCCTCCCTGGTTCTCTTCCCATGGGGAGGGCAGGCTGCAGGGAGCCGGAGGGTTGCTCCAGCTTGGATGAGTCATTCCCTGGCCTAGGGTAGGCCCTGCCATGGCTCATCCAGATGTTGCCCATTTCTGGAGGCAGGCCTGACATGTGATGCCCTGCTGGGAAGGGTGGGATGAGTGGGAGTTTTGGGGTACTGTCCAGGGGCCTGACCCCCATGCCGCCTTGGTTGGAACTTTCAGCCCCTCTAACCAGCATGGAGTGGGATCTGGGTTGGGTGACAAGCTTTAGGTGTCCTCCTGATGGGGGTGGGGGATGTCCTCTACCTAACTCTGGAGACGTGGGCCCTAGAACTTGGAGAACAGCCCTGAGTGCTCTGTCTCCATTCTGCAGACAATGGCCCAGGGCCAAGGCCCTCTGTCTGTACAGAGGCAGATGGGAACATGTGGCAGCCAGCACCCCAAACCCCAAATCCCATGGTTGGCCAGTGATTGGTGGCCCCTTCTAGGCTGGAAGAAGGAATACAGGGTGTCGGGTGGGAGGGGAGTGGCATTAACCTGAAGCTGTGGGGAGGGCGTCCAGGTCTCTAGCTCCCCAACCTCTTGCCCGTCGCCTGCTGCCCCAGACCCACACACCATCCCTCCTGAGCGTGGGCAGCAGTACCTTGTCAGCAGTGGGGACCACAGGCGGGGTGAGGATGCTGGGGGGCGACTCAGGCCGCTTCTTGTGCTTCTGTTTAAGGCGTTCTTTGTCCTTTCGACTCTGGAGAGGGAGAGGTGACCAGATATTGTGCTGGGGGGTGGTCTGGGCGAGGATATACATGGTGTGTGGGTGTGAGGAGCTGAGCCCCTCTCAGGGATGGGGTTCTGTGGGCATTATCTCCCTCCGAGGAAGGATGGGGAATGGGTGGGGCAGGAGCAACTCAGGCAAGTTTTAATGAGAGCCAAAGGCTCCCCCCGACCCCCGCACTGGCTAAAAATAGCCTGTCCCATTATCACGCCAGTGCCACAGAGCACCATGCGCGGGTGCACACACCTGCAAGGGTGTCCACCTGGGACACAGCTGCACAGAGGGACAAGAGCAGGGCATGCTGTGCTGTGTGGCTCAAGGGAACGCTGGCATGAGCACTTACATACTAGGTGGCACATGGCTGGACCACAGAGACGTGTGCAACGTGCAGAGCCACGTGTCTGGGGCTTGGGGGACACTGTGATGTCATGGGGAGGACCCAGAGGAACCACTAACACAGTCACAGAGAAGTCAAGCTCCCACCTCACCCTCTAGGCCCCCCTCTCCTGTTTCACTTCATCAGCCCCCTCCTGCCCTCAGTGGCCTCAGAGGAAGGAAGAGGGCAGGGCAGAGACCTTGGGGGCACCTCCTAATGGCTTCTTTTTTTTTTTTTTTTTTTGAGACAGAGTCCCACTCTGTCCCCCAGGCTGGAGTGCAGTGGCATAATGTCAGCTCACTGCAACCTCCAACTCCCAGGTTTAAGCAATTCTCTTGCCTCAGCCTCCCAAGTAGCTGGGATTACAGATGATCACCACAATGCCAGCTAATCTTTTTTGTATTTTTAATAAAGACAGGGTTTCTCCATGTTGGCCAAGCTGGTCTCAAACTCCTGACCTCAGGTGTTCCACCCACCTCAGCCTCCCAAAGTGCTGGAATTACAGGAGTGAGCCACCATGCCCAGTCATGATGTCTTCCTGAGCCATGTTTGTGAGTCTCTGAGTTCCCCTGTGGGAGTGACAACCAGGGTTGGGGGGGCGGTTCTACCTTCTTCTGGCCCCTCTCATGGTGGGTGGGGTGCTTCTCCTGCTGTGTAGATGGTGAGGTTGACCTGCTTCTCCTGCCAGAGATGAAGCCACTGCCACCTCCCCCCATGCTGCTGCTGCTGCTGCCACCTCCTCCTCCTCCTCCAGAGCCTCCTCCGCCTCCCCCGCTGCTGTGCCGGGATGTCTTCTGGGGGAGAGATTTGAGAGGAATTGCAGACCCTCCTTGCATGGGCTTAGGGAATGCTTCCAGAAGGTTAGAGGATCCTGATCCTGGGGGTCAGTCCCAGTGCCCTGTCCATCACTAAGAGGACCTCATGTCCTCTATGATGCTCTGCTCAGCAGAAGGGTGTTCTCCAGCCTGAAAGTCCTAGCATGTCCCAGCCAGCTCGTCCGAAGTGCAGTGTCAACCACTGAGGCCCAAAAGAGGCAAGGACGCATCTTGGCCCCCGTGAGCCCAGGTGGAGGTGAGACTGGGCCCGGGTCTTTCACTCTTTCCCTGGTGCCCTCTTGGCTGACTGAGCCTCGGCCCGTTTCCACCTCCTTCCCCAGAGCAGAGGACATGCAGGGATCTCTCGTGGGGAGTCACTGCTCCCCTGCACTCCACATCCAATCCTCCCTCCAGATGCTTGGCTCAGCTATCACTCCCTTCTCCTTTTTCCTGGCCTCTCCCCTCCACCAAACACAGTGGTTCCTCCTGTCCCTAAGGATATGCTGCCCTGAACTTGAAGAAAGGGGGAAGTAAATGTCAACACAACCCAAACCACCCTCATGCTGCCTCACCTTCCAGCGCCTGCCTCCCCATTCTCTCACGACAGACCCAGCCTGAAGGCTTCACCCTCCCCAGGCCTGGAGCTGCTCCCTCTTAGGTCACCAGCTACCTCCCAACTGCCAAATCCAGGGGCTAATTTCAGGCCGTGTCGACCGGCAGCTCCCCCGAGTTGGACACCGCTCCTACCCGCAGAGCCTCACACCCTGCAAGACCCCCTCTTTCGTGGCCCACCTGACCTATCCTTGTGGACCCTGGGATTCCAGCCCCTGCCTTATAAGCCTGGGGCTGCCATTAAACCCTGACCAGGAGTCTGACACCCACCAAATCTGAATGTCTCCACGTGGCGCCTCCTGCAAACCAAACCAAGCTCACTTACCTCATTCTAAGTTATCATCAAACCCTGAAACCAAGGTGACCATATAACTTATGACCCAAACCTGGACACTTTCAAAGATGAAAGAGGGGAACTATTCATAATTACATGAGGGCAGCAGGTATGAACTGGGACTATCTGGAGCAAATCAGGACATGTGTTCCCCCTACAGAAGCCAGCTGCACCCCTTGTTCATGGTACCCCCAGGTATTCAAGCTCCATTCACTCGGTGTCTAGAGCCTAGATCCTAAATGTCACCCCGACTCCTGCTTCTCAGCTACTCCCATGATTAGGCAAGTCTCCCTAGAAATGGTTCTAGCATCCAGCCTTACCCCTCCATCCCCCTTCTTGCAGCTGTCTCCCAGCCACCAGCCTCAGCCCTTCTGATCCAGCCTCACAGCGGCTGCCAGGGTAATCTTCCTAAAAAACAAATCTGATCATGTTACTCTCCTGCTTACAAGTCCTACAAGCCTGTGGCTAGGGGGTAGATCCAAGCTGCCGCCAACTGCTCCAGAACACCTCACAGCTTCTGGGACAAAGTCTCTCTATGAACACAGTGCCACCCTTTCCAGCCTCTCCCTGGGCCCCTGAAGCCTGGGGTGTACCTGGAGACAAGTCCAGCTTGGGCCCTGCTTTCTTACCTTATCTCCTGCCTCTTCCCCACCGAACACCCCGTTCTCCTGCCACTTACCCCTGCCCTTCCTCCTCTCAGGACTCTCTGTCCACACCAGTCCCTCTGCCTGGGACTCATTTCTCTGTTTGGCAGTCTCCCAAGGAGTTTTCAAATCAGTCTGCCCATTTTAAATCCCATCTACCCGCTGTGAGGTTAAGTTATATAACCTTAGTGAGCCTTAGTTTACTCATCTGTAAAATGGAGAAAATATAGCATACCTAGTTCTTAGGGCTGGTGGGGGGACCACACAAAACATCACACGGGAAGAACTTCATCCTGAGGCAGAGGCATAGTAAATGTTGCCTCCCACACAAACGTTGGCTCTTATTTTGATTTCCACCTCCACTCAGCTTAAATGCTACCCCTTCCTTGAAGCCTCCCAGACTGCGACAGGCAGGGTCTGAGCTCTGTCTTCTGGGACAGACTGCCGGTCCAGCTCTGACCCACACCCCTGAAGCTGTACTTTATTCCTCATCAAATGAAGAGCTCCTCTCAGGCAGGGACCGGGTTCTTTCCCTCTGTCCTCCCAGCACCAGGCACTGGCCTGGCCCAGAGCCCATGCCCTCTAACCATCTAACCATCTAACCATGACTGGCTGAGCCCTCGCAAGCTGACAGCGGGACTCACCATCTTGCTGAAATGGTATTTGCAGTAGCCGCAGTATTTGACGTTGTCCACCTCCAGCACTTCCTCCTCACACAGCAGGCCTGCCATCTGGGCACTAACCAGAGAGGTCAGCCTGAGACGGTTGTGGCCACAGATCAGACAAGCCACCTTCCTCCCCCACTCCTGGACCCCTGCTGAGGTGAAGCAAAAACCATCCAAAGAAAGCACTGCCGCCACCAACAGAGACAGCAGCTAGGATGAGCCCCATCAGTGGCCATTCGGGACAACCCTGGGGGGATCGAGGTGGGGGAGTGGGAAGGGGGTCTCACCAGGTGACGTGGAAAGCTTGTCGACATCCATGGCGGTTACAGGTCATGCAGGCTCCCGAGGCTGCCTTGCTCTCCCGGCCCTGCTCCTCGCAGATGTAACAGGTCTGCAGGACAGGGCACAATTGTCCCCTCCTCCAGGGAGCCCCTGTCCTACTGATGGTCCCTAGGCTACCCCCCATTCCATTTTCTCCCTACAATCTTAGCTCAGTGCTATCCAATAGAACTTTTTTTTTTTTTTTTGAGATGAAGTCTTGCTCTGTCGCCCAGGCTGGAGTGCAGTGGTGCAATCTTGCTCACTGCAACCTCTGCCTCTGGGGTTCAAGCGATTCTCCTGTCTCAGTCTCCTGAGTAGCTGAGTACCCTCCTGAGTAGCATGGCGCCTGCCACCACGCATGGCTGATTTTGTATTTTTAGTGGAAATGCGGTTTCATTGTGTTGGCCAGGCTGTTCTCGAACTCCTGACCTCAGGTGATCCACCCGCCTTGGCCTCCCAAAGTGCTGGGATTACAGGCGTGAGCCACCGCGCCCGGCTCCAACAGAACTTTCTGCAATGATGAAAAAACTCTGCGGTCTGCACTGTCCAAGACAACTGCTATCAGTCACATGAGCTATTAGCACTTGAACTATGGCTAGTGTGACTGAGGAACTAGATTCTAAATTGTGTTTTGTTTTGTTTTGTTTTGAGACAGTCTCCCTCTGTTGCCCAAGCTGGAGTGCAGTGGTACCATCTCAGCTTACTGCGACCTCCTACACCTCCCGGGTTCAAGGGATTCTCCTGCCTCAACCTCCTGAGTAGCTGGGACTACAGGTGCCCACCACCATGGCCAGCTAATTTTTGCATTTTTCTAGAGACAGGGTCTCATCATGTTGGCCAGGCTGTTCCCAAACTCCTGACCTCAGGTGATCCACCCACCTCAGCCTCCCAAAGTGCTGGAATTACAGGCATGGGCCACCTCGCCCAGCCTGTATTTAATTTTGATTAATTTATGTAGCCACCTGTAGCCAGCGGCTACTATGCTGGATGGCACAGTCCGTGGATGGTGAGCTCTGAAAGGCCAAGGCTGGTGTCTGTCTTGCTCACTGGGGAGCTTGTGTCGCCTCTGCGCCTCTGGCTAAGCTTTCTTCTGCCTGGAACCTGGGGGCCCTCACCATCCTGAGGCTGGCTCCTTCTCATGCCCCAGGTCTCAGCCTAAAGGTCTCCTTCCTTGACCATCTGGTTTAAAGTAAGCCCCCACCAGGTCTTTATTTTAGTGTCTTATTTTCCCCACAGCACTTATCACAAATTGTGTTTACTTTATTTGCTTCTTTACTGATATTTACAATCTTCGCATCCAAGAACTTGTGTTCCACTGAGCGGGCACCACACCTGTCTTCTGTGTCTGATCAGCACAGAACAGAGTGTGCCAGCGAACAAATGAATGAACTACCTGTGAAGGTCTACCCTCTGGCAGAACTACTGCAGGGGAGCCTATTATTTCACCTGAGTGCCAGGGCATGAGTGTGTCTGTCCACAGAAGGGTGGTTCACTAGTAGGTACCAACCCACCTCCCAAGTTTCCTGACAGTGCTGGTTGGACAGAATCAAATTACACTAGATGAAGGAAGCGCTGGAGGAACCCATAGATGGGAGGGAACCCATAGGCGACAAGGTGGGGGGCCGCTGACCTTGTTGAAGCGATCATGAGGCACGTACTGCAGCACGATGGGCTCCATGGTAAGCACGTTGGCAAACTGCACCTCAGGGATGTAGAGGGCACACACCACATGTGCCCAGCCTGGGGCAGTGTGGGGGTGGCCTCAGCTCTGGATGGCAAGCTGGAGACCCCACCCCTCATGACCCCACACTGCAGACTGTCCCCTCCTCCACAGCCTTCCCATCAGATTCCAGCACGAGCCCGGGACCAACGAGCCCCCAACCCAGTCCACTCCTGCCTTCCCAGACCCTGCTCAGGAGCCCTTGCTGACCTCAGCAGATGAGCCCGCCTCACCTCCATTATCAGTCCTCTTCAATGCCCCATCTTTGTGTGGGCACAGCTCACACCTCTGCCAATGCAAGGGTGCACAGGGGTTGGGGGATCTGCTGAGCTGGGCCCTCCCTGAATACATTCAAGGGGTCCCAGGCTGAAATGCTAAGCTCTAGGGGGATCAGTGGGGCTACAGTGGAAACAGAATTGGCTGTGAGTTGGACTGTTGAAGATGAGGAAGGGACGTGAGATTCATTAGTTTTCCCACTATTTTTCAACGAGTAAGAAACTTCCCATAATAAAACAGTTGAAACAGAAAAAAACCAAAGCCCCATGCCTGAGGTGGGGCAGAGGGAGGGATGAGTGTGAGGCAGAGATGGGGCTGGAGATAGGTGTGCAGGAAACAGGAAGTCTGTGCGGCAGAGCTAAGTCCCACCCAGCCTCAGCCTCAGAGTCCCCGAGCTCAACCCTAGCCGCTCAGGTGTGTGGGAGGGGCCCAGGGAGTGGAAGGGGATAGTGTGGAACTCACCACCCTGGCTGCTCGCTCCTGAGATTCACATTTCCGGCAGAACCAGGGTCCCGTTGGCACCTGAACGATGCCATAGCAAGCTGAGGGTGGGGAGGGCAGTCTCTGAGCAAAGCTGTCAGCCAGTGGCTTTTTCCCAGGGTAACTGGGGGAAGGCAGTGACTGCAAAGGACTAGAGCCAGTTCCAGCAGTGGGGGCTGCACCCCAGTCTGGGGGTCACACACTCAACAGCAGTCCTGCCTGACCACACACCACCAGCCTTCAGCCACACAAGCAACTACTCCAAACAGGGCGGGAAGTCTGAGTCTTTGACCTTAAACTTCCAGAAGATCCTCCCCCCACGCCCTTTCTGGACTTGCTTCCAAGCGGACCAGCCATCAGAATTAAGAATAGAGAAAACCAGAGGGGACAACAGTCACGACCGTGAAACACGTTTTGTTGTTGTGGGCGGGGGGATTTCTTAAAGGGCCAGTGAGGGACGAGGTGGAGAAGTAGGGGGTCTAGGGACCTCATTTCTACCTCTGAGTATCACAGAATCAGGTGAAAAGTCAAGGCCGAGGGCAGGTGCAGTGCTGGGAACCGAGAGGAGCGTGGCGGGAAGAGCCCCCGGCCACAACATTCAGGGTTGTCCCAGGAAGAGGGGGCCCGGCTGCCTGTGCTAGGCAGGCGGGAGATGCCAGCCTGCGCCCTCGGCAAGATTCCTCAAGGAGTTAACTCCCGAACCATGTGCTGCTGGGGGAAACTCCAAGCCTCCCTCTTCTCGATTCCGGCCCCCTGCACAACCTCTCTCCCAACCTCAGCTCTTCCCTGGCGGATTTTAGGAGTCCCTTCTCCCCTGGGACCCTTCTCTTCCCTTGCCAAGTCCGCTCCTCCCAGTATCCGGAAGCGAGGGGGGATGACGCCCCCCCTTGACCTCTTCCTCCCGGAGCTGGGACCAAAATAACCCGGCGCGGGAGGGAGGGGACACCTCGCAGGTAAACATTTCCCGGGCAGCCCCGACACCGGCGCTGTGGGGCTCGGGGAGTTCACTCATTGCTTCCTAGACTCTCCCCAAACTCCCTCAACTTGGGGTGGGGGGCGCGGAACTGGAACAATAGGCAAGAAAACAATGCCTGACCCGGTCTTCCAGGACCGGGCGGGGGGAACCTCCCCACGCCTCCCTTCCCTTCAGGTGGGGTGGGGGAGGGGCGCGCGACCCCGGGAGGTCTCCGGAGGGCGCGGCCGGGGGCGCCCCGCGCACGCCGCCCCCGGGGTCCCGCCGCCCCCCGCGGGCCACCCCCGTACCTTGGTGGACGGCCACGCTGCACGCGTGCCCATCGCAGTAGACCAGCGGGTTCTCGGCCCAGCCCCTCTCGTCCGAACATACGCAGCAGCCTCCTACCATCTCCTTCATACTCCCATGAGCTCCCTCCGGGGCTGGGGCTGGGGGCCGGCCGGCGGGGGTCGGGGGTCAGGGGGGAGGGAGGGAGCGGGGGGGCCGCGCGCCTCCTCGCCCCCTCCTCCTCTTCCTCCGCCGCCGCCGCTTCTTTTCTTTGCCTCCTCCTTCCTCCTCCTCCGCGTCCTCCTCCTCCTCCTCCTCGCTCGCTCTGTCTGGCCGCCCCCCCCCGCCGTGCTCTCGCCCTCATGCCCCGACGGGCCCCCCCCCACAACAATGAGACTCGCGCGCTGGGCTCGCCCCCTCCGCGCCGCTCGCCCGGCTCCTAGGGCCGCCCCGCCGCCGCGCAGCCCGGGCCCGGCGGGGGAGGCGCCGAGTGGCACATCGCGGGCGCCCGCCCGCCCCGCGCCGCCCCGCGCCGCCCGCTCACGCGCCGCCCCCCCGCCCCCCCTGCCCGGCCGCGGCAGCCATGGCCGCGCGCCTCCGCTCGCTCGCTCCCGGCGCGCCCGCCGCCGTGTAAAGTCTTAGGTTCAGGGAACAAAGCCTGGCTTGGTAGGGAGCTTTTCGCTCTTTCGCTCCGTGCCGCTTTGCCTGCTTTCTTTTTCGTTTTACGGCTCTGGGTCGTCGCTCCCGAGCCCTCCCTCTGCCCGCCCTCCCGTCTCGGGTCCGGGGTTCCCGAGTCTCCAGCCCCCTGCGCCCAAATCTTCGTCTCTTGGTGGGTTCTTCAGCCCCAGGGAAACTTGGGTATGGACACCTGGGTTAGGGGCGCTAGGAGGAACGGGAGAGACGCGGGCCGTTCGCCCCCCCACTACTGTGTCTGGGGGTCTTTTTGGATGGGCGCTCTCGGGCCTTTTCCTCGGAGGACACTCTGGAGGGTAGACCCTCTCGCACGCGGACATTTATTCATTCAAAAGATATTTATTAAACGCCCGGTGTCAGCTGCAGGGATCGAAATCCAGTAGAGAGCAAAACATATTCCTGCCCTCGGGGAGCTTCCTGTCGGGTTCACCGACACACACACCCGCACAGAGACTCGGAGCCCCAGAAACACACCGAGGCACCCACGGACACGAGCTCACTGCCAGCCTCAGTCACACCACTGACCCTCCCAGAGACGCGAACCTCCGCTCTAGCCCCGCGGGCGCGCTTAGAGACCCACGAAAGTTAGAGACCGGCAACCACGGGGCGCTCACGAGCACCAGTTACACTTGACCTCTAGGCACGCACACAGACACCCAACGTAACTCACACGCAGCACTCCAGAGGACTCAAGTCCCCGTAATTGAGTCTGGGGGAGAAGTGAGGGGCGTCGGCCCAAAGCCTTCTTCCTAAGACCGGTGTGGACAAGAGGGGGTGAGATCTGACTCCCAAAAACTTCCCAAGCGGGGCGACGCCCGTGGACACTAAAGGTCACCCGCCCTCCACCCCCCAGCGGGAGGTCGGGTGGCGTTGAGGAGAAGGCAGTCCTGGGGGCTTCAACGGCACTTCAAAGTCCTCGCAGCCGGGAACGCTTCCTGCGGGGGAGGGGCAAACAGAGAGGGGGTGGAAGACGGGCAGGGGGACTGGGGGTGGAGGAGCCCGCCCCCCCTTCGGCGCAATGTCCCCTGGCAGACTCTTCCGCTGGGTCCGCCTCCTTTTCACCAGCACCTGTTCAACCGGAACATCAAGGGCCTAGGGCCCGCCGCGGCCCCCCGCCGGCTCTTTAGTACCTTTCATCCGGGAAGGGAGGTGAATCCCCGCCCAGGAGGGGGGAGTAGGGCGGGGGAGAACTTGTCCTTGACCTGGTCTTTGGCGTCTGGGATTTACTCCCTTAATCCTGGAGAGGCGGGAGTTTGGGGAGGTCCGCGAAGCTGAGTTCTGGGCTGCAGCCCCCCACCTCCCCTCGCTCCGGTGGACACTGGGAATCCCGGAGGGCTGCCGGGACGAAGAGGCTGCATCTAAACAGGGCGGTGCAGGGAAAGCCCGTCTCTTCGACCTCTGTGCCTGAGACTAGGGGCCGAGAGCCAGATTATTGGGATGGCCGGAATCCTGGCGAAGACGGCCGTGCTCCGGTTCCTTGGTCAAATCTGTGAATTTCGATAATACGAAAAGTTAAACAAGACACAGAGGAGAAACTGCACTTAGGGGTTTCTAACGAATTACCTTTACTAGCAAGAATAAAACTGCTAGAAAACTAAACGTAAATATGTCAGTCCTAGTCATGCACGAGTTTCAGAATATTTGAATATTTGCTTTCGGATCCCACCGCCGCCAAGGTGGCCGCAGTTTCGGGTTTCGCCGGATGGAGGTCACTAAAAGGTGCCTACGCCCCAGGGGTGGACGACCTGGAGACAGGGGCCGCCGGGAAGCCTTTGTTTCATGTCACCCTGAGCCGGGTTTGTCCCTAAGTTTGTGGGATGGACGCGCGACAACACTTTAACAAAGTTTAGCGTTTTAGGAACATTGTTTCGTTCAATCCTCCCACACCCTTTTAGGGTGGGTGTTCATATCCCCCATTTGGTGGTTGGAGCAACTGAGGTTTCGACGGGAAGAAGTGACTTGCCCAAAGTCACTCAGCCTGAAATCGGCGGAGGCGGGACTTGAACCCAGTCTGTCCTCCGCTACGGCAGGGGTTCAACCACCACGCGTTGGTCGAGTGCGGGTGCGGAGCTGGGGTGTCCGAGCCTCTACGCGCCCATCCACAAATGTTCCCTGCGAGGTCTGGGGAAACCGGGTGCCCCGCGGGCTGGGCTGGATTCGTGGCGAGTACCCAGGGTCGAGCTGTCAAGTTCAATATAAAGCTTCCAACATGTGTTTTCCTGAGCGCCCACTACGTGCCGTTCCGCAAAAAAACGAGCAAGAGCAGGAACCAGCCAACAAGTGGTTCAAGTTCACCGCGCTCTCCGCGCGTCACTGAGCACTGCTTTGGGGTGTCACGCAGACCCTGGCGGTGAGACTTTCAGCGAGTGACTTCACCTCTCCGAGGTCCTGCTCGTCCCTCTGTAAATGGGGCATTAGTACTCTGGGGCAGGGGCTGTAGTGAACACCGAACGAAAATCCTTTTGTAAAGCGTGAAGGCACACAGTAGGTGCTCAATCCCTGCTCACGCCCTCTCTGCCGCCCTAAGCGTGCCAGGGCCGCGCGCTCCCGCTCCGGCTTCCCGCCTCCCGCACCTTCTCCCGTCTCGCGCGTCCCGCGGCGAAGGGACTGGGGCAGAGACGACCAAACAGAAAATTATTTCCGCCCGCTCGCCCCGCCCCGCCCGTCCCCGGAGCCAGAAGGGGATTGTGGGGCCGCCGCGGCCGCCGCCGGAGCCGAGCGGGGCGGAAGCGCGCGTCGCGTTGCTGCTCGGGCCCGACCGCGCCGGCCCGCACCTCCCAGCCCGGAGCTGCGGGCTGCGGTCGGGGCGGTCCCGGCGGGCCCCGAGGCGGCTGCCGCCGGGCAAGTTTCCGCGAAGCCTGGCCCGCCGGTTCCGGGAACCAAGCGGGGGAGGCTGGAGGGTGTTGAGGTTTCCTTTCTGCCAGCCCACCGGGCGCTTGGTTTCGCAGGTGCCAGGGGTCGGGGGTGCGACCTCTCTCTCTGGGCCGTTAGACAGCCCCGGGCTCGGGGAGAAGGCTGCGCCGGCTCCCGAGGGTTTGCGTTTCCTTCGCGTCTGGTTTGCACACCATTTTCTCTCCCCCAAAGCAAAGCTTCTGACCTTGGGGGCGTTGGAAGAGGTTAAGTCACTTTCCCCTAGGTAATCCAGCCAGCGAAAGGCTTTAGCTATGAGGGCCTCTGGCCCGGGCGGGGGCCGCTAGAGTCAGGCAGACCTAAGTTCGAGTCCCAGCCCTGCCACTTTCTTGTTTTGACCAAGGATTGGTAGTAACTTATCTGGGACCCTCAGTTTCCCCATCGCAGACTGTAGTACCACCCTTAGGGCTGATGTGAGCAGTGACATGTCAAGTGCCCAGCACAAAGAAGGTGATTTCCCCATTAAAATGTATGACTCGGAGGTAATCTATCTAGTAGGCCTGGCTGGCTTAGGAGGGTGGGTGGCCAGGTTGTTTCCTAAGTCAGACACCCTGTGCGAGATGGAGGGAGGCTCTGTTTCAGGAGGAACTGGTGGGAGTGAGGGGATTTCCCTGAAATTAGGACGTCAGCAGTCATGATTATTGTAAATAGTGACTCTGCATATGTGGGAGTTTGGGCTTTTCAGTTCTTTCTACAGAACACAGTACTTAATATCAAATCTTGCCCTCTGCCATTAGCTAGCAGCCTCAGTTTGCCGATCTCTAAAATGATGATAATTGGATCCCCTCCTTCAATCTACAGGATTTTGGTAACTCTCCCCTGCCAAGGTCCCAGCAAGTGCTTTAAGAACGAGTGAGCCCAGGTAACTCTCTGACCATGTTAGGGCATCAGGAACATCCTTTAGGGAATTCGGATGGGTAGGAAGGGAAGAGGTTCATGGGATGAGGTAGGCATCTGCCCAGACTTTTTCCAGAGCTCTCTGGACTCTAGTCCCAGCCCTGCCCCTGACCAGCTGTGTGACCTTGGGCAAAGCAGTTACCCTCTCTGGTATTTGGTCAGGTGACCAGATCTTGAAAGTCCCCTTGGTGTTAATATTCTGTGCGTTGATGACTAGTCCTGGGGAAATTTCCAGGGTGAGGAATGGCAGATGACTAGCACGGTTGCTGTGCTCTGTTGCACTCTATCAGTTCCTCTTCGTCCTTCACCTTAATAGTTAATATCAGGACAGACGCTGAAAAAGTTTACTGATTCAGTCTTTCAGCAGACACTCACTGAATCACCATGGGCTGGCCATGGGAGACACACACGTAGCACCTGGGAGGGGATAGGCATAGGAAAGCATTAACATATATGGAGCTACCTGGGAGGTACACAGAGGGCTAGTGGGGGTGATAGGCATAGGGAAGTATTAACTCCAGGATGAAAACGGCTACGACAGTGCGGTGAATGGTGCTGACACTGCAGGGAGGAAGTAACTGAGTTTATGGGGTCAGGGAAGGCCTGAACTGGGACCAAGTGGGTGAGGGAGAGTTTGCAGGTGGCAGGTAAGGGGCAGAAGACCATTCCAGGCAGGAGAAATGACATGTTCAAAGGTGCAGAGGCAGCCAGGCATGGTGGTTCACGCCTGTAATCCCAGCACTTTGGGAGGCCGAGGCAGGTGGATCATGAGGTCGGGAGTTTGAGACCAGCTTGGCCCAGATGGTGAAACTCTGTCTCTACTAAAAATACAAAAATTAGCCAGGTGTGGTGGTGGGTGCCTGTAATCCCAGCTACTCAGGAGGCTGAGGCAGAGAATTGCTTGAACCAGGGAGGCGAAGTTTGTAGTTAGGGGAGATCGTGCCACTGTACTCCAGCCTGGGCAAGAGAACAAGACCTTGTATCAAAAAAAAAAAAAAAAAAAAAAGGGTGCAGAAGCAGGCACCAGCGAAATGTGTGTGTTGAAGTTGCACACTGTGG